AGACGCTTTTCAAATCTTCTTCATAATCAAGAGACCTAAAGACAGCCACTAGACTTGAAATGGTCATCGAGAAGCTAATGATGTTCTCAGAGTTGTGCATTCGAAGCTGCGGGAAACTGGACAACTTATCAAGGTAGGCCGTAATTACGTTTTGTGGCTGGCCAAACTTTCTTTCTAGAGTTTTCAGAGCATCTTTATACATTCTTCCACTGTATGCGAACTCTGCTATGGCTGACTTAGCTTTTCCCGCGACTAATGTTTTTAAATAAGTCAACTTCACATCATCGTACTGGGCCAGCTTCCATTCTGGAAGGGGATCCTTCTTTGAGACTGACAGAGCTTGGACTAAGTCATTCAGTGTCACGGCTTGCGGTTTGGGAGCTCGTTGCAACGACGGCAATGTGTTGCTAGGATCAGCTGCAAAAGGTTGCTGCTGATATATGTAAGTGTTTTCAGCCGATGCGTCGTGATTGGGAAACCCATAGTAAACGGTACCACCACTTGATACGTGGGGGAATTGTTGCTGAGATATTGGCGTTACGGATGAAAAAACACCAACTGATGGGTTTGTGTTACCATCACTTGTTACCCCAGTGATACATTGGGTGACTGCGGGTGTCCACTGTGACATTAGTGGCAAGTTGGGCTGACTAATAACGGCAGACTGTCCGCTAAACGGATTGTTCACTGACGCAGGGTTGCTATACACGTTATGTGATAGCAAGTTTTGATTTCTGCAGATTAAATTTGCAGGTGGTTGTGACACAATGGCATGGGGGATGTATCCAGAGTATTGATTGGAGATGGCAGGCATGTTTCCAACAACTCGGGAATCGTTATTGAAGTTGTTGACGGGGATATGTTGAATGGAAGACGAAGGATGAGGTAGAGAGAAGTAACAGCATACCGGAGTATTGGTAGCTGCTGTTCCAGCTGGATTAAAAAATGATGATGTATTGTTTTCGCAAAGTGTAGCGTTATTGGAAATAAGCAACGACTGCGTTTTGTGCTCAGGATTAGTGGATACAGCGTGCTTGATTCCATCGCCATCGCTGAAGGAGACGGTTGGTTGATAGGGATAACATTGTTGATCACAATCAAAAGTCCGATTCGGCAACGATCGCCGAGGTGAGGCTTCCGCTGTGGACACATTTCTGTGTTGATGCGAACCACTTTCTATATTTATACAGTTTTCAAACTTTGAAGAAGACGGAACTACCTTGGGTCCTTTTTGGTTTTCTAATGCATGATCAACCCAATCGTTTACCCTGTCAGAACGACGATCAACCGAAGACGCCAGCTCGAGATGCTGATCTATTTCAGACTCTTCGAGGTATTCAGTTTCAACCATTTTTGCTTCAGCTACTTTAATACGATTTTCTTCGCTTAATCGTTCCATTTCAAGCCGACTTTTTTCGATTCGTAAACGATGTTCTTGCTCTTTACGGTCAATTTCAAATTTAATTTCTTGTTGTTTTCGTTCCATCTCAATCAAATGCTGTTGCTCTTCGATGATGGCTTCCTGTTGTTTCAGTCTTAAGGTTGCTTCATGTTGTTTTTCCAACTCTTCTCGCTTCATCTTCGCTAGGAGCAGCTCTTTGCGGCGCTCACTTGGAGTCAATGATTTCATTGAGCTTTGCTTACTCGACCCGGATTTTGCCGATTTTGATGAAACTTTTGATCGACTAGTTTCACTGACGCAGACCTCTGAAGCTTGATTAGATTCCATATGAGCGCGAGCCTTACCAGTTACTTCATCGTTAACTTTAACTATCCTATCCCACCATGCAGCCAACTCCGTTAATAATTTGCTATGGTTATCGGTTTTATTAGCTAATATCACAAGTTCATCATTTTTAGCTAATGCTTTTTCGAGAATACTCTTGCAAGATTCAATTAAGGCCTTTATTTTTGTTTTCCGAATTGGTCCCTCTAAACTCTCAGTTATGCGACTGTGAACTACGGAAAGCTCATTTTCTAGTGATGTTCGACCATTCATCAACCGTCGATATTTTAACTCAATTTGTTCTGTTATTTTGATTACTTTTAAGATTGTTCACTTCTACTCAACCGCTCAACTGCTCAGTTTGAGAAAAAAAAAGGAATAATTAATTTAAGACCTTATATTTAGTATTAATATATTATATTCTGACTCATTAAACAATATCACACCTTAGAGAAGCAATTTATTTAACTCCTAGTGCTGCTCAGCATTTCTTCTGTTTCGATTAGCTTGCCGCTTGCGTTTTCCTGGCTTAGGAGTACTTTTCTTTGAAATAAGATACTTCAAATTCTTGCTATAACGCCTAAGGATCGTAAACGTTTTCAGTTCTAGAGAAGGATCCTGGTGTAGTTCTAAGTACTTTTGCCCTAACTCAGTGAGGTTCTGCTTCCTTCTAGATATCAGGTCTGTTACTATGTTAATAACTAATATACCTGACTCTTTCAACTTACTATATATATCTTCCGTGCTTACACGTTTACAGTAAACGATTGCATAAATATTGCGTTTATAGTTTAAAAGAATCTTCTTAAGCTGGTTAGGAGTTAGTGCGTTAAAGTTATTACTACGGTGTCGACTAATAGAGTTATTAACAGCGTCGTGCCAAATAACAATGTCGGTTCGGTTTAAGAGATAGTGATCAAGTTGATACTGACAAGTTTTACGGACGTTCACTGCGTTATGGTTGAAACTTAACCCGGGAATGGCTAAGCACGATTGAGATACACGCTTTTGCGAAGCGGGGGAAAGTTTTTTCAAAGCGTGGTGCAGCGAGCTAGCAGCTAGTATGAACATTTAGTGATTTAAATCAACTTAAGAGGGAGGGAATCAAGCAAACCGCGACCTGACCTCCCGCAACACCCTGAGCTAACAAGGTTGTAGCAAAAGGTAAGACGATTTGCTTAATAATACGCTACGGGTCTCGACTACGGCTGTTTTATCCAATTGAACTAGTTCAGTTAGCTGCACCACGTTTCAAGAATAAACACGGCGTTTTTTCAGAAATTTTTTTTTTTTTCGAAAATTTCGGATTTTTTCCGAAAATTTTCCAAAAAATTTTTTTTTTTTTTTCGAATTTTTTTCCGAAAATTTTTTCCACGTTTTCACCCAACAGTTCAAGTTCCAACAATAACCTGATGCGTTTGCGAAATTTTGAATTTTTTTTTTTAAAGTCCAAAACTTGGGGCAAAAAACTCGACTCGGTCGTTTAAATTAAATTATTATGAAACTAGGCGCTTTGCTGAATAATTTGCAAAACTTTAAAATTTTGGAAAAAAAAATCAAAAATTTTCAATTTTTTTTTTTCAAAATTTTTGGTCTTTTTTTTCTCGATACGGTGTTGAGCTTACAAACAAGGTGTTAGGATAACGTAATTAAGGTTTATGAGGCCGGTTTTTTCCTAAACCCACAGAAAATTTTCTGATCAGGTTTTGGTATCGAGAAAAATTGGGGGCTACGATTTTGCCATCAAAAAACCTCGTATCAGAATTTAAAGCATCAGATCAGCAAGTTAGCACAAATGGATAAAGTTTTGGTTTTTTAGTCTTACAAGTTTTGTAGAGGCGTTCACCGGTAGAATCCAAATTCCACAGAAACTTCGGGTGTCGAGAAAAAATGGGTGTCCACAGTCCACACTCCAATATGGATGTCCACAAAAAATGATGTCCACAATCAGGATACCTGAAAAGGCCTCCGTTCGAAAATTCTAAAAACCCAACTTCTACTTTTGACTTCTGTGTCCGGGTCGTTGGCAACCCGAATAAATACTGACTTCTGTGTCCGGGTCGGTTGAATATCAGGCCTCTCTGGACTATCGTCCGGAATATCTAATGTCCGGTTCGATTGGAATTTCAGGCCTCTCTGGAATATCGTCCGGAATATCTAATATCCGGTTCGGCTGGAGTTTCAGGCCTCTCTGGAATATCGTCCGGAATATCTAATGTCCGGGTCGGCGGACCAAAATGTGCCGCACTCTCGTATCCTGTAAGATCTAAAAAACCTGGTTCAACATCTGTAAATTATCGGCAATTTAAACAGATAATATGACAATATAAAGATAATATAAAATAAGGCAAACATCAGTTTAACATTTTCGGTTAACATGTTATCAAACGGTTTTTCAACAATCTCAAAAATCTATAAACATTTTGATGGCAAACTGACCTTAATCGGACAAACCAGTAGTTTTCAAGGCCTTTTGTCTAAGCAAATCTAATTTTAGCTTTTTCACTTTCGCCCTATAATGACGTCATTAATTTAAGCGCGAACACAAGTAATATATCATATTGAAGCACTTTTTTTCCTAACTTTTTAGGCCTTGACAACTTAATTACAAAAAAGTTGTTAGTGGAGTTTTTTGGCGCCATTTGGGAAGTCATAACTTCAAAATTTAAACAACTTCTAACAACTTCAAACTACTTTTTGGTCAATTTTCTAGAAAAGTGAGGTCCAATTTACCTATTTTACTATGATTTTCAATTAATCCTAGGTCCAATTTTTTTGTTCAGACCCTTTCATCACACCACACAGAAAAAATAATTTTTTAAAATATTTTTTAGACTATGGTCAGAACATTCGGTGCTAGTTGCACAGTATCAACAAATCTTGTTTTGTGTTTATTTTGTGGTCGGGTTTTTAGTGCTACTGGCACACCAACGGACAATTCTTTTACGAATTGGCTTTTTTCCCTAGCTATCACGTTGTCGAACCATGATCCGTATGTTTTCAAAAATTTGTTTGGCCCCTGTGAACAATCCCCCCCCCCTGAATACACCAAGTGAACAACCTCCCCCCTGAACAGACGAAGTGAACAATCTCCCTCCTGAGTAGACCACGTGAACAATCTCCTTCCTGAAATTAAATGGCAAATTCAAGCAGTAAGGTCTGCGTCAACTATGCTCAAATCTGATTGGCTGAAAAACATTTTGTTCTCCCTAATTTGATTTAGGGGGGAGATTGTTCACTTGGTCTTTTCATTTATTTGGAATGTTTGCTACAGATTTGCCCAGTCTCACTTTTCACCCGGTGGAGAGAAAAATTCTGGATGACATCACTGGACCTATGAACAGCTTCAACCAAGGCACAGTTTTTTAAGTATTCTTCTAAATTTTTATTTTAATCATTCAACAATGATCTCAAATGGGTTCAGTCAGGAAAGCGGCTCATGATAAAAACCACAGGAAAGACAGTTCTATTAGCCCCATCAAAGTTTCAGTGTTTGCTAAGTTCAGTCTTTAAGAGAGTTCTGGACACTTTAAAGGAAAATTTGATCATTATGATTTTTGGCCATCTGGACAATCTGTCAACAGAACTCCTCCCCTTCTAGTTTCTGTTCACCTTAAATTTTTCTGAACTTATATCTTGTTATTAAAAGCAGAAGCCAAAATGATTGAGATTAATTTAGTACTACTTCATACTTCTTGCAGCCAAAGTGTTTTTCAAAGCAGACGTTGAAATTATTGACATTATCGCCATTTTTTATGAACTAACATATCAAACTAAAAAATGAGCCCTTTTCCAGCGCTGGAAGCTGCCGACTCGGCGTGGGCTTCCATGCTCGTATCTTACGATCTCATGATGAATGGAACATCGGCAGTATCTGGTGCCGTCTTCGAGGCCAAGGGACATCTGAACGATATGCAGTGCACCACTTCAGACACAGAGTGCCAATTGGCGGGTCTTCTGGGAGGAGACGTGGGCAGACATGAGAACTATTTCACTGTATGTATGGCCTCAAATTAAACCATATGTAGCTCAAATGCAGGCTCAATTTTTGCGCAGTTGCTAATTTGTTATACGAATTTAAGGTGTTTTCTTCCAAAGTCTTGATCACTGAATCATTTATTTCTCAAAGACCATTTCATGTAATTTCTGATTTTCAGGATATCGCCAATCACTGTTCTTCCGATCGCGTCATTAAAAAACTATGGAGTGTTGGAAGGAATTATGTTTTTTCCACACAGTTTTGGTTACCTCTAAGAATGTTCGCAGATAGTCAAGATTAATCATATTAGAGCCATTTTAGCCATGATTCTGTAGCCAAAAAAAGTTGCTTCAGTTTAGAGAAAAACTTGTCTGATTATTTCGGCTTTTAAAATTGAATAAGATAAAAATTGAGAGGCTGAGCTCTCAAATACAATTTTACAAAAATTAGAAAAAATGTCTTCAAATTTTCCACGAAAATAAAAAATATTCTTCATTTTAAATTTTTTTTAACTTTAGTTTGATGTGGTTGGAACATTTTAAGCTATTTGTCGGATATTCTTATTTTGGCGTAAAATTTACGGCTATCTTTGTTTCTAAAAATGGCAATTTGAGAAATGATAAAAATGGCAAAATGGCAATTCAGATTGAATCAATTTGTCTTCACCGTGTTTCAGTCGGAGATGGCAAATCCTCTAGAAGCTGAAAGTTTCCAAGTTTTTGAAGTTGACATTGGAAACGCTGTCAATCAGGTTGGTCTCAAAAATTAAAATCGCAAAAATTGCTGACCGGAAAACTTGAAAAAAATTCTGTTTTATAGATTAAAAAAATTGACTTTATTTTTAGAGCATTTTTCAGGTACCAATTAATGTTATTATTTCATCTTTATTTTTATCAAACATACTAGTTTTCCTTTTGTAACTAACCAAAAAACCAAAAACTAACTTTCTCACTAATAACCAAAAATTTTTAAGACCAGGGGTTGATAGCACCAAAAGGGACCTAGATCTCTTTTTATGACAAAGGCGTGAAACTTCTCAGTTAAAGGCCAAACCAGGCAAAAGACCCCTAATTCCCCTCATATTGGCACTGCTCAAAACTCTTAAAATGTTTAGAAACAAGAAGTAATCTTTTATTTAGGAAATGGATACCATGGTTGAAACTATCAACGCTTCCGTCTCCAGCGCTGTCCAGGGTTTGTTCTCAATATTTTTCTTTGACTTTTACGCAAAAAAATGAAAGTAAAATATGATAAAACTGAAAATAAAAATTAGAGGAACGTAACCATTTGTTTCATTTTTGGAATCGTGATGGTGGCTTTTTTAGAAATGACCGAAATGGCTTCTAATGCAGAAAACACAACAGATTCTCTATTGGGCGAGATATCCGAAGACCTGTTCGAGACTCTCTCTACATTCGATTTGAGACATCATTTGTGGCAACAGTGGGATCGCATGAAAGCAGATGGCCATGATTTCATCCAATCTATGTATGCACCATGGACTTTATATTTTTTCTCAAAGTGAACTTCTGTTAATATTTCTACTCGTTTTTTCAGCGTATTGTACATATTTCAAGATGAAATAAAATGTCTGTTTGCAGGAAAATTATGACCTCAAAATTATCACGTCATTATGACCTAAAAAACTAGTTTAAATCTTCGAATTAGCGTTAAGGCATATAACTATCTGGCATTGGTGGAAAATTACATTTTGAAAAACTAATCGTTTTTCTACAAAAATTCAAAAACAATTATACAAGCTCAGATTGTTATTTATCGTCTTTCCTTGGTGCCAGGACAAAAAATACTAGATTCCAAAATCTGATCAACCTTGCTGTTGGTTTTTTTTATTTTTGTTATTTTATTGTGTGATCTTTCAATCGGTGTGTGATAGCTTAGAGCGTGGGCGTATTTGGTCTCTGATGTTAAAATAAAAACCTTTCTTCCTAAGTTTTTCTCTTCTCTTTGTTTTAGGAAGCCGTTCTACCTCTCAGCCCGATTGATTGGGGTCATAATGAGTGTGATTGGTCTGCTTCTGCCTATTGGGGCTGTGATAGTCTGGAGGAAGAAACCTCCTGAAGACCGAAATCTTCTCAATCATATTTTGGGATTCGTCATGCTAGGGTTAGAAGCACGAAATAGCTGTCATAGCTGGGTTTCAGTGATCGTGTGCGCAGGATTTTTTGATTTTTTGATGTTTTTTTTTTAATTTTTTGGAAGCTTTGCCGAACTTTTTTATGTCGACCAAATTATGTGACTTGAATTTAACCACCAGGAGCAAAAAAAGGCAGCAATAAAATGGATAAAACATAATAAAAACTTTGTCGACTTTTTTCTTTCCCAGATCACTATAAAGACCCCATTTTTAGCAAGTTTTCTGTGCCGCAGTCAAATTTTTGAAAAAACAAGCCAAAAAAGGCGTCTATAGCATCAAAATTAGTATGTTTTGGTTCCGAAGGCGCCTATAGAAAAATTTTAGGGTCAGTCAGCAAAAAAAAATAGATATTTCGAAATAGTACAAGGGAGGGACACTTTGCGTCCGCCCCCCTAAACTCGCTGGTGCCTTGCATTATACTACTTCGCACTCTTCAAAAGCGATCGAAATAAAAAAAATTTCAGAAACTGAATTAAAAATCTATAACAAAGTCGACTGAATCTCAAATTCCATTGTACTTTGAGGGTTAAGTGGCAGGTGCTAATCAGCAAATGAACTCCAGTAAATTAAGACTGCAATAGTATACAGCATATCACAACATCCTTTTTGAAATTCTGAGCACTTTCTACTACATTCTGGAAGGTATCAAACATCGATTTGACTAAAAAATATGAATTATAAGGTGCATATACAAAACAGTCCCATACAAAACAGTCCAATACAAAATAGTCCCAAAAATCATGTAATGGAGGAAAAAACAGTCCAATACGAAACATTCCGGTTTAAGGTCGCCGGTGGGCAAGCTGCGCGCGCGTCGCCACTTCGCGGCGATAACCGGCTCTAAATTTTGTATTAAGTCCTACCCTCTGTTGGCAAGCTCGCAACACGTTGGCGCGACTGCGGCGGTCACTATTTTGTTCATTATGCTTGTTGAACAATGATTTCTGAACATTGGGACTGTTTTTCGGACTGTTTTGTATCGGACTGTTGTTTCGTTCATTTTCATTCTTTTGCGGACTGTTTTTAATGGGACTATTTGTACAGACACGGAATTATAATGGTTGCTGCGATTTATCCTAGATGGATATGACCTTGGCCTCTAGATATCTAGATCTAGTGAAACGAAAAAAGAAGAGATCGTTAAAAAAAATCGTTAAATAATCGAGAAAACAGTCTTATTTCTGACTCGTAAAACTAGCATCCGGTGTTCTAGCATAAAATTATGATAAATACCGCGAGAAAATGTAATTGCCAGAAAAATTGCTTTTTATTTAAATTATGATACTTTTAACATTAAAATTAACGTAATAAAAGATAATATTACGTATGTTTTTTTGAGTGACCAGACTATATAGGACGGATATCAGCATCTCAATTGAGTTTTTTTTCTATGTTTTCAATGACTACAAAGCTCAGGTGATATTCAATATAAATTACTTCTAATCGGATTTGGAAGTTAATACCAATTTTCTATGATAACAGTTTCGAGAATTTTTCTGACCAACCTTGGTTTGCCTTCCATAGAAAAAATGCGTAATTGTGCACATTGATATATGGTTTGTAGAGAAAGAAATTTATCAAAAAATTCACTAAAAAAATTTTCAAATTTTGAAACTGATCTTACCAGTTTCGAATGCCACAAGTAAATTTTGGAAAAAACTATTTTGGAAAAAAATTGTTTTTTTTTTGATAACTAGAATTCCTTTCAATCATTTTTTCCCGTAAATTCTTCAAATCACAGCAAGATTACTTTTTTTGCCTTATTTCAATCTATAAAAAAGTTTAACCTAAAACTAAAAAAAATATTTTCTCTAAACTCTATTTTGTAAGGTGGAATCTATGATTACTGTTTTTCAGCCTTTCACCATGTTTATCAAAACATTGCTCAATTTTAATCTGTATCATGTAAGTTATAAAGAAAGTTAGTCGTAAAAGAAAAACGGTGTTCCCGAGTAAAACCGCTGCTCTTGTTAAAACAAATAAGCCTTTCATTTTAGTCTCCAAAGGAATTAGTTCCATTTTTTCATCAAAAAATATAATTCAAATTTATTTGAATTTAAAAAGTTAGGGCTACTGAAAAAAGATCAGAAGTATTTATAGGAAAATTTTATATACAAAGGCCAGGCAGGGCTTGGCGAGGCGAGGCGAGGCAGAACTTCGCACCACTCGCGAGATGACAAACATAGCATGGCGTTCTAGCAGACAGAAGTTGAAGCAAAACTGCTTAGTTTCCGTAAAAACTAGCATTATTTCCGTGAAAACTAACATTTTTTTCCATCTGTACATTTTAAGGAGAATATGACAAATAACATCATAACAAAAGAAAAGTATTGTAAATAAATTAAATTTTGAAACTAAAAATTTTAGTCACACTGAACACAAACACAGAAAAAAAACTTCGAAATAAAACAACCCAATATGAGTAGACCGAGCCAGTATTTTGAAACCGAAGATTTTATACCAAAAAATAAAATATATACAGGCCAAATCAAAGGAGGTGAAATTACAACCAAAATAAAAACATTTTTCACAAGAAAGAGAATTTAAATAAACAAAGATGTTCAAAAGTTTGTGTTGACAAAATCAGTTTGTTGACAAAATCAGATAGATGACAAATTTAATCAGAAGATTTTGTTACACAAAATTTTATTCTTAAAAAGTCTGTTCAAATTCGATAAAGTTTGCTAATTGTAAGCGCAATGATATGTTCCTTTAATGGAATATCATGATTTTTTAATCATTTATTAAATAAAACTTAGCTCTAGGTAGAAAATATTTTTAAGGCTGAGTTGGTTAACTTTAGCAAAAACTTACAAATTTTAGATTTCTGCTAAATTATGAGCAAATTACTAACAATAAACAACTTTAGCTAAAAAACTAAATTTACGAAAAGCACAAGTTTTTTTTCAAATTAAAGTAATTTTTTGTAACGAACCTAAACAACAACAACCAATTTTTTTTTCAAAGTTGCTCTCAAAGACACTGGTATTATCGACAATTTGGCATTAGTTTTAGTGTACTTCACCTAATGTGTATTTCAGGTTCAGTCTTCTCAGTGCTTTGTGCTCCATAGTTCTGATGGTGTTAGCAGTGGTTATGTTCTGGGAAACATCACCAGCTCTCAAATTCTGCTCATCTATGGCCGAGGGAAACATGGACTTCATAGACCATCCATTTGTAGTCGACAACTCCAGTGAAAGATACTTCGCCCATCAAATATTGTCAAACGAGTCCATACCTTTGACTTTTTTGTCCATTTTAGAGTAAGTTTAAATGAGTAAGTTTCTCGTGGAACAATGAGAGCAATGGTCAGAATACTAGTTGCTAGAGTCGTTACAAAAACCGGTTATCTTCAGTCCCAGCTTAAGAGCTACTTCGCATTTTTGGTGATTTTCCAAACTGATGCTTCGTCTTCAATCAACAAGCATCGATAATGGTTGGCTTAGAGCTCAAAGTTAAAATATGACTGATTCGATTCCCGACTGAACGTTTTTTCCTACTTTCTAAAATTAAGTTGAGCTAAAATTCGTACATAGTGTGAACAGAACTGATTTTGAAACAACCAGAAAATTTTGTAATTTTGATACAATTGAACTTTTTCTGCTGCCAGAAAAGCGAAATTTTGCGTGCTTTACTTTGAATTTGTATCTGCTGAAGTCACACACAGTGGTAGAAAAATAACCAGTGGATGTGTGGTGTTTTTTAGCGATTGTTACCAAAACGAGCCCATCTATGTTGCCCTACAACTCTCCTCGTCGGCAAAGTACGACATCGAAGGCACTCTGAATGTCGGGGAGTTGTTGCCGGGTGCCGCGAATGTCTTCAGCTCCGCAACTCCAGATATCAGCGCCACTGTACTTGTTCCTGATGCCTTGAAGACAACGATGACCTCGTTTGATAATTCTGAGTTTGACGGGGAATTGGAGACCATGAATTTAACGTCTTCTGAGGTTAGCATTTGAGCGAAGAGATCTTTTCAACATTCAACTTGTATAGTTTTAAAACACCGAGTGTTACTCAGAATTTAATCCCATCTTCGCAACTCGACTTCAAAAGTTTTTTTTAGAAAAAATAACTCAGAAGTTGAGGTTATTCGAAGCTTATTATGCTTTAAATGAAATCAATTGCTTCGAAACACTCTGTGCTACGAGTTCATTAACCGAGTACCCTTGTTGCCCACATCTAGCCGTAGAAGTAAGAATAAACTTTCAACTCGGTTGTTTTATTTATAAAAACGTTTGCCCCAAAAACAAAAACAAAATTCTGAAAATCTTTAAGATTTTAGTTTTTTTTTAATTCTCTGGTTGATAAATATGGTCTAAGCACGTGTGCTACTTAACATTGTGACCTTGTTCAAACTGGACTTGTGTCCAGATTCTCACCTGGCACACCCAGTTGATGTTCGGAACTCCTGGAGTGACAGTGGCCTGTGATCCCTCCTGCAAGTCCATGACAGACATCAGAGACGAGTTGCAGGGATACCTGAATGCTGGGATAGAACCGAACACTGCAGTAAGAACTGTCGAATTATTATTTAGAAAACGACCATCAGACAACTATTTAAGTTAGATTGAAAAAAAAAACAGATGAGTTTTCTAGACAGCTACGTTTTAAAGGAGCTGCAGGGGTTCCTCAAGGATGGAATGGGACTAAACACGGCAATAATAGTTGTTGTAATTTTATAAATGACGACACCATAACACTCACAAGCAACAAAGAGATATTGCTCGCAACCATGACTATCGCGGGCTGCTTCTCAACAAGAAAGCTTCTTTCCTGTTTTTGTTTCATAATTTTGCCGTTCAACGAGAAAATGACTTCATAACACAAACTGCGAAATCATTTAAATAATACCGTAACAGAAGTTACGCCGCTCGTAGCTCATCAATTTTGAGATTCTTGGCAAAATTAATTGAATTCTGAGTTTTTGTTATGAAATCAAACTTCAGGCTATCCATATCCATTACAATTTTACGTTATTTTGTTGATAGCGCCATCGGACTTCAAATGAAGTGTAATAATATGGCAGAAGATAGATTTATAGCAGACGAGAACAGTTTGCGAAAAGTTCTGCATGATTCTAACTCGGATATTAATTTGATCACTTTTTTCGTTAGAGGTCAAATGCTCAGTCAGCACTCACTGTTCTGAACCATTTACTGGACACACTCATTCCAGACATGCAGCAGCTGGCCTCCCATTTCCAGGCCAACAAGAGCCACCTTCAGGACTCACTTTCAGAACTGAAAAGAGTGATTGATGAAGTGTTTCTGCCAGCCGAAAACACACTGCAGAATTGGATTGCGAATGATGCAACTCCCATGCTCGAAACGGTAAGAGTGGCATAGGGGTGGAAGTGATATCATTTTTAATGTTTTTAGGATGTTTTAATTAGGTTTATTATAATGGTAAATCCGACCAAATCAACAAGAAGTACTCCTGATTCAAAATATTAAGAAACGGTTTATAACTTAAAAAAGTTTTTTTTTCCTTTTTTTGGTAATCAATAAAGTAAAGACTTCCATACAGGGGCGGATCTAGGATTTTCTCGAGGGGGGAGGCGGATTTTCAAAAAAAAATTGAAAATTTTGTCGACCTTTTTTTAGGTCAACCAAATTGATTTTTTGAGCTGTCCCAAAGCACTGTTTTGTCCCTATTTTGGCCAAATTTTCTGCGCCGCAGAGAAATTTTTGAAAAAACAGGTCAAAAAAGCATTTTTTGGGCACTTTTTGAAAAATTTTGACAAAAAAATCGCGTTTTTTTGGCGCGCGCTCCCCCTCAAAGTTAGTATATTTTGGCGCCAAAGGCGCCTTTAGAAAAATTTAGGGTCGGTCGGCCAAAAATGGATTTCTTAAAAAAACCAAAAGGGGGACCCTTTGGGTCGGCAGGTGGTTGAATCCCTGAAAGAAAGGGGCGTCCAACCCCCCGCCCCCTCCCTCTAAATCCGCCCCTGCTTCCATATGTGATATCTCTTACCTCAGTTTCTTCGTGACGCCCATGCTTTTCGATGGCATACATATACGGTGACGGTCCGTTACGTATAAGTTATTCAAGTGTACCATGGCGTATCAGTTTTGTAGCTTCTGTGTTTTTGCGCGGCAATCAATGTTTGTTTCAGGACACTTCAGGGCGGGGCTGATAACTATTTATGTGTTTCGGAACTACATTTTTTTCAAACTTTGTGTGCCATTACATTTAACTGCTCAAAATTGTACGTAATGCAGTTATACTCAAAGAGATCTATACTAAATGAGAAGTCACCATGAGAAATACATAAATCCAAAAACTCCTCCCTATTTCAAAGAGCTGACTGGAACAAAAACAGTATTTTAATTTTGATTTTTTCTAGAGCGTGGAAGCTGTTGGGTCCAACGTGGAGAAATACCTGGGCAATTATTTGGACTGGGTCATGGCTATTCTCGAGGGTGAGTTGGGCATGTGTGGACCAGTGGCCACTGCCTATGACTACTTCTGGAACTTCACTTGCGACAAAATAGTACAGCCGGCGGTGAGTTAAGAACAAAGCCGATGAAAACTCGACCAAACAGGAATGATTATACATAAAAAGAGTATCAATAGCGTGTGGAGAATTTTTGAATGGGAGAATTTCGAAGAATATTCCCAACTTTTCTGTATATAGATTTTTTTGCCTCCCCGCAATCAGATATGAAAAAGAACTTTATAGTAAAACTAATGGTTTACGAAGACGAAATGTGTTTGTATTCGGACAGAGAACCCACAAACCAATTCAATTTTTATGCTCGTTAAGCAGCGTGACTCTTTTTCCTCCCCCCTCGCACGAGTATCAAATTTAAGGTGTAATGAATGTGTTGTGTTTATAAGGTTAAATATGACAAATAAAAATTTTTGGCATGAAATAACTAGTCCGTATGTCAATTTTCATAACAATCGGACAATTTGAAAAAAGTAGTTGTAAAAGTTTGCATGTGGGGGGAGGAAAAAGAGCCAACAACGTGCAAAATATAGCTACCGTTTCTTCCCCCGCTAGAGGAGCCTTTTTTGTATCATTGAATCCAATTGTCAACTGAACATAATATTTTGACCCATTTTGAAAATGTAAGAAGCTATTGATCCTAAATGTCGTCTAAACCTAATATTTTGACCCTTTGAGCATTTAAGCAAAATATGTCATCGCAATTGTCAATTGAAACTAGTATTTTGGCTCATTTGAGCATTTTAGGAAAAAATTCAACATAGTTGTCAATTAAAACTAAGTTTTGAACCTTTCATATAAGAAATTTATTAATCCTAATTGTCGTCTGAATCTGATTTTTGGAACCTTATTGTCGTCTGAACCTAATCTTTCGAACATAATTGTCGTCATCACGTAATAACCCAATTTTTTGAACTTAATTGTCGTCGGAACTTTATATTTGGAAAATAATTGTTGTCAGAATCTAACCTTTTAAACATAATTGGCGTCTGAACCTATAACCGAATTTTTTGAACCTAATTGTTGTCCGAACATATTCTTTGGAAAGTAATTGTTGTCTGAACCTAACTTTTTGAACTTAATTGTCATCCAAACTTTGAACCTAATTGTCGTCTGAACCTGAGCTTTGGAGCCTAGTTATCGTCTGAACCTAATTTTTTGGAAAAAATTGTCATCTGAACCTAATCTTTTGAACCTCAGTATCGTTTGAGTCAAATTTTGTGAACCTAATTGTTAATTAAACTTGTTTTCCTGAACTTAATTTTTGTCTGGAATTTATTTTTGAAAATATTTTTTGTCTAAGCTTAATCTTTTGAACTTGATTTTCATCTAAATTGAATTTTTTGAAACTAATTGTCGTCTGAACCTAATCTTTTGAACCTAATCGTCTTCTAAACCTATCTTTTGAACCTAATTGTCGTCTGAACCTAAATTTTTGAACCTAAGTGTCGTCTGAATCTAATCTTTTGAACCTAATTGTCGTTGAACCAAACCTCTTGAACCTAGTTGTCGTCTGAACCTAATTATCGTCTGAACCTAATCTTTTGAACCTAATTGTCGTTGAACTTAATTTTTTGAATCTTATTGTCGTCTGAGCCTAATATTTTGAACCTAATTGTCTTCTAAACCTAATCTTTCGAACCTAATTGTCGTTGAACCAAATCTTTTGAACCTAATTGTCGTCTGAGCCTAATTTTTTAAACCTAATTGTCTTCTAAACCTAATCTTTCGAACCTAATTGTCGTTGAACCAAATCTCTTGAACCTAGTTGTCGTCTGAACCTAATTATTGTCTGAATCTAATCTTTCGATTCTAATTATCGTTGAACCTAATTTTTTGAACCTAATTGTCGTCTGAGCCTAATTTTTTGAACTTAATTGTCTTCTAAACCTAATCTTTCGAACCTAATTGTCGTTGAACCAAATCTCTTGAACCTAGTTGTCGTCTGAACCTAATTATCGTCTGAATCTAATCTTTCGAACCTAATTGTCGTTGAAACCAATTTTTTGAACCTAATTGTCGTTGAACCAATTCTTTTGAACCTAGTTGTCGTCTGAACCTAGTTTTTTGAACCTAATTGTCTTCTAAACCTAATCTTTCGAACCTAATTGTCGTTGAACCAAATCTCTTGAACCTAATTGTCGTCTGAGCCTAATTTTTTAAACCTAATTGTCTTCTAAACCTAATCTTTCGAACCTAATTGTCGTTGAACCAAATCTCTTGAACCTAGTTGTCGTCTGAATCTAATTATCGTCTGAACCTAATCTTTCGAATCTAATTGTCGTTGAAACCAATTTTTTGAACCTAATTGTCGTCGGAGCCTAATTTTTTGACTCACTCTGAGCTTTTTAGGAAAATAATTGAACCTAATTGGCAAGTGAACCCAATATTGCGACTCGTTTGACCTTTAGGAAAATGATTGAATCTAGTTGTCAATTGAAACTATGTAGTGACCCTCTCATTTAAGAAAATTGATTAACCCTAACAGTCGTCTGAACCTAATTTTTCGAGACTAATAGTCGTCTGATTTTAATCTTTTCGACTAAATTCAACTGTTTGCCCTCTTTAGAGTATCCTAGTAGGATTAATAAACCTTGTCGACCTAACCTAATTATTTAACCTCTTAAAGCATTTTGGGAAGACGGATTAACCTGTTTGTGTGGCGTCTTTTGAGAATTTTATTAGAGAGATTAAAACTTTTTTCTTATGAACTGAATGCCGACTGCACTTAATTATTTGGTCTTGTTTATGCATTTTAAAAAAGATGATCATTGATTTTTTTTCTCTTCTCAGCATTTAAGGAAGCCTTAGACGAAAAAAGTGCATCTTCAGCGCTGGTTCACTTCTCAAAAAAATTGTATAATAGGGCCTCAGCTTTCAGAAATATTTTGAGTCAATCACGGTGGATTTTCAAAAATTTTGGAAGTTTTGTCGACTTTTTCTAGGTCGACCATATTGAATTTCCGAGCCCCCTCCAGAATACTATAAAAACCTAATTTTGACAAACATTTAGCGCCACAGGCAAATTTTTGAAAGAAACAGGCTAAAAAAAGCGTTTTTAGGCGCTTTTAAAAAAATGACCAAAAAAGTTGCATTTTTTTTCGACGCGCGCTCGCCTCCAAAATTAGTATATGTTGGCGCCACAGGCTCTTAAAGAAATTTTTAAAGTTGATCAGCCAAAAACGGATGTCATGGTTATTGAGGGGTCGAATCCACCCCTGCTGCATAATCAAAGAAAACACCGTCCTCAAAAAAATTGTCACCCCAACATTTTGAGATCTTATTGTATAGATTTCCCCAACCAGCCCATTATGCAAAAGCGGAAGGACTTATAGCTCAAAAAGGTTAAAATATGTATAATACAGCTTTTTTAGGAGGTATGATGTATACGTAGAGAGCAGCTACAAAATGCTACATGGAATTCATTGTGTCTGCCGTTTCGAAACATGGATAGTTTTTTTTCTGACGATGAGTGCTGAAAACAATAATAAACAATGGCGGGAAATTTGTTGCAACTCCTTGTTTTGAGCAGTTCTTTCAAATGGTTTTGTTTCAAATGAAACTATCGAAACGTTTACAATGTTTACATAGTTCAAAATTTACAAAGCATAATTTAACATAGTACAGTAATTGCCCCTAAGAACCGAGAGAACTCGCAATTAAAAACCCGATGTAATCGAAAATAAAATAAAATGCGAGTTGTCGTAAATGTTGCGCTACTTACAGAAAACAACAGCTCGCAACACTAAATAAACAATTGAACATATCTGTAACTACAATTTTTGGTCGAAAAAAGTGCGGTTACAAAGAAACAACACAAAAAGACTACAACAAAAAATCTTTCAACCTAAAGAAACTGATACCTGGCGATTTCAAATTATTTAAAAATTATACTTTTTTGTTTTTTATCATTGAATTAAAGGTAACTCACAAAAGCTCAAAAATTTCTCCTACGGAAAAACCAGGCTAAGATAATACAACGTCACTTTGTTTCTCAAGCTTTAAAAAATTAACTATCCAATCTGAGGAACTTTAATTCACAAGAACGTTTGTGATTCAGACTTTATTCATCATCATGATTTGTCTAAAAAAACTTATTTTGGTTTCTCGGAAGAAGTAATAATCTAATTGTAACGGCTGTTATTTAAAAACGATTTTGCGTTGTTGATCATCTAAGACCCAACACTAATTGTTCCGGCACACACAAAAGAATTGCTTTTTTTCCAGTTAAATTTGACAATTTCAAGAAAAAGTCATAGTCAACCAAGTTCCGTATCATGTTGAAACCTTTTTGGTTGTGTCAGTTTTCAATTTTGAGACTAAATCATCTAATTGTTCCGACTTTCGATACGAAAGTAACGGAATATTTGTGCTCGGGGTGGGTTTTTTTTTCTTCAGACAAATTTCGACTTTTTAACTAGCCATTTTTGGCGGAATTTTTTAATAACATTCGAAAGGTATTGTTGTCTTGAGCTCAAATTTGAAAAAATATGTTACCTGTGATCATTTTTTGTAAAGTTCTGGGGGTTTAAAAATTGCCATTTTGGCCAATTTGAGACAATTAACGCGCGATATATTTCGCGCTATTAACGCGTGAGCGGAGAATTAATCCGTCTTAAAAATCGTTTTAAATTGGTTCAAAGAAGCTTATTTGCCATAATTGATTTGGTACAAGGAGCAAAATCTATCTTTTTGTACTTTATATGGCGTGTGGGGGGATGATTTTCATAAAAAAGTTCAAATTTTACAAAAAAAAATTTCATTTTATTTTTTCTTACATTTAAATTTTTAATGTTATTACTGCTCCATAAAACCTTAAAAAGCAGTCGGAACATTCAGGGCTTCGCCCTAATACGAGCAGTCTTGTTGTATTTAGAATTGATCATTAATTTAGCTCTTATCTTTTTCAATAATTTTTCCAAATGTTTCTTTTGATTATATTTAATTTGTCTTTATTTTTGATTGTTCTGATCACTGCTCCGACTCTTTTTGGTCAAAATGACGAAATATTTGTGCTCTGGTTGGTTTTATTTCTCCAGACAAATTCGGACATTTTAACTAGCAGTTTTTGACAAAAATTTTTTTATACTGTTCTAAAAGTGATAATGGGCTTCCAGTTTTTTCTGTACCAGTCACTTCCGTTCAGTCATTTTCGCCCCATAGACACGGTCGTTTTTGCCCCAGTCATTTCCCCTCCAAAAATAGTCAGTTTTGGGGCGGAAATGTCTGGTCACGGTGACGTTGAATTGAGCTCAAATTTAAAAAGATATTTCACCTGTGATCTGTCAAGCTATGGGAGTTTAAGGATTGCAAGTTTGGCCAAATTAGGTCAATTAAGTCGCTATACATTTCGCGCTATTAGCGCGTAAGCAGAAATTAATTCAAAATTGTTCCAAATTGGTTAAAGCAAGCTAATTGTCATAATTATTAGGTAACCAGCAGTGAAATTTATCACCTTGCCATTATATGGCATGTGGAGGATGACATACAAAAATCCAAAAAAAATTTCAAAAATTAACATAACGCGGATAGGAGCACATTTTGGTGTTTGTAGGCCTCTGGAATCCTGAGACAAGTCTTTAAACTTGTTATAATTTTGTCGGAACGGTGAAAGAAAATGAAAAAAAAACAAAGAGAGCTTCTTTATTGCGGAATCCGCTTGCAATTCAAAAAACACACCGTTAGGCCTTGTAATAAAAAAAAAACGTTTTTTTTTTAAAGTTCATCATTATTCTTAAGCGAACACTGCTCCATAGACCTTGAAAGGCAGTCGGAACATTCAAGGCTTTGCCTTGATACGAGCAGTTTTGTTTACTTTGGTTGGAACATGCTGTGCTAACTGCACAGCGTCCGAATATCCTTGTTAATTGCTTAAATTTTAATCAAAAATAGTAAATCAGGTATAAGGTAGCGGAAAAAATGCTTTCATTTTTGAAAAGCCTTAAAGCATATTAATCATTTAAAAGAAACAAAACAATTGAGGCTAAACCTTATGCTCGGTCAGTAAAAACCTGATATTTTTCAGAACGTGATCTGGTTCCTGGCCATCTGGGTCTCGCTGTGCCTGTTCAGCACTTCAATATGTGCCTTTCGAATCAGCTTCTATTTATTCAGACCACGACAAGTTTCGGAAAAGAAGCCAGTAGAAAGTGAAACGTATGTAGAAAAGATTATTTTTCAGTTATTTCCCACCCGTCTCGTTCAATGACAGCATCTAGTTGTCTAAAAATTGGTTCAAATTGTAATTTACACGAAGGACATGATGCACAGCTTTTTTCATTTTTTCACGTTGATATGATTTTATAACAATTTGGAACATCAAAAACTGTTTAAATTAGGCATTCGTAAATCAAATTTCTAGAGAAAATCAAGGTTGAAGCTGGAAAAAAGCGAAAAAAAAAATCATTTCAACTATTCATTCCCAAGGGAATAGACGGAAATTCGAGCTGTTCTATTTTTTATGATTTCTTAGTTGTGAGAATTTAAAAATCAAAAGTTTTTAAAAAAACTAATGTTGTTGAGCTATTAACCACACGAATCTACCAGAAGAGTTTCAATTGGTGTGACGAGGGGGTACTTAAACATCATCTTCAGCATATATGAAAAAGCTGTTGATCCAAGATTTTGGCGACGGAGGGAAAATGGTATTTTATTTAAGGGTAGTTTTTTTGAAATTTTTGATCAACAGTTTGAACTAAGTCTCTTTTTTGGCAGTTATGTGAGCTTCAACTTAGCGTGTAGGTTGGTGACAAGGGCGACTCTATAAAATATTAGGGTTTGAAAGCCAAAAAGTGAGCGCTGCAAAATAATCGAAAGAGGGCTTTCTGTAAAAAAAAATAGTTTGGCAACTTAAATTAATTGGAAGCGGGTGGTTGGACGCTTTCAAAAGCGCTACTGAATAAACCATGGCGAGTTCAACCTTTCTGGTCTAATATCAAATGAATGAAACATGAACAATCAATATTTCATAAATACGATTGGTGTGCTACTCTAAAAGACTATGAATAAAAATGAGACATAAATAATAAATCGCAAAAATCCCTTAGATGTTTTTTCTTAGGAAGAGATTGTAACCATTAAATATATTATCAAAAACGCAAAAAAACTAGACGCTAAATATAAATCTGGTTTCAGCTATCCGGGTCAACGAGCAGATTGATGTTTAAAATGTGTTTTGCTTTGATGTTTAAGTGAACTGCGCAAAGTTTCATGACTAGCCAGTATTTTTAAGACCATTTATTCACGAGGTAAAAGGACCAACATACGAGCTGCACAGCTCATCACGGCGAACCACTGTTGTGCCCCTGCTTAAAAACAACATTGGTTATTTTTTTGTTATTTTTCTGGTCCCCCTTTGTACTATTTTGAGATATCCATTTTTAGTGACGGACCCTAAGGCTCTTCTAAAGGGGCCTTTGATGCCAATATACACTAATTTTGAGGTGTGCGCGCCAAAAAACGCGATGTTTTTGGTCAAAATGTTCCAAAAAAGGCCTGAAAAAGCTTTTTTTTTTGGCCTGTTTTTTCACAGGCTTTTTACTGCTTTAAAAGAGAGCACGGAAATCAATTTGGTCGACCTAAAAAAAGTTGACAAAAATTCGATCCAATCCTGATCTAAAAGGAAGCCATTACATGTTTTCGAGGTAAGTACGCCCAAATTAGCAAGTATTCGTGGCACAGAAATTTTTAGCCCAAATTAGCAAGTGGCACAGAAATTTTTGACCATATTTTTTCAAAAAAAAAAATTTAAAAAATGAGAAACAAATGAAAAAAGAAAAAATGCTGAATTTAAAGTTAAGGTGAACCGAATTTTTGAAAAAAAATCCGTAAGAATTAGTTAAATTTTTAAGAAACTGTTCAGTCGATGCCAGAAACTAAAATTTGATGTCTTGCACGTCGGGGTGATTAAACGGAGTTTTCATGCAAAATAAATTATGTGAAAACTTTTCAGAAGTAAAGCACTTTTTTGAGACTGTCCTCTGAGATCTGATTATGCAATTGCTAGAAGTGTGTTTCATCCAATTAAATCAGTGTTGAAAAAGTAATGGCTTGAAAATTTTGCTTTTCAGACCAAATTACCGCTTAGGAAGCAGATGAGAAAAGAACTTTTTGAACACTGATTACAAGCTACTAAAAACAAAGTTAAGATTTTTTGTTCAATAAAACGATCCAATACTCGGGGAAAAAAAAGTGCTTAATATTTCTTATTTCTAAGTTTTATAATTTCAATCATTTCAATTTACTTTTCAAAGAAATAATTGAACTATTTTCTGTCTAGGCTAATTTTTGTGTCAATAGCTCGACTTAAATAGCTTGTTTCACAATTTGATTACTAATTCTTTAAAACAAAAATTCACTCAAACTCACATATTGAACTATTTTCTGTCTAGGCTAATTTTTGTGTCCATAGCTCGACTTAAATAGCTTGTTTCACAATTTGATTACTAATTCTTTAAAACAAAAATTCACTCAAACTCACATAATTGTTTTTGCAATATTTTAATTTGCGTTATAAAATCACAAACATATAAAGAATGTATGGTAGCGGCAGTAACTGTAAAAGTAATGATAAAAAAAACAATTGTTTCAATGGGAGAGATTTTACCGGTAGTAAAAAATTTTTGCTTTGTCTCTTATGTTTTGTTTTGAATATGTACAGGGCAGAAACGCATTATTTGAACTCTTCGCATTCTAGATTCATTATTATCGATTCAATTTTCTCCAATCCATAGAAACTTGGAGTTACTTAATGAAAAAATAACACCATCTGCACAGCATCTTTTGCGGTAGTTTGTGGATATCTAAACAGCTTGGAGGTTTACAAATTATGTGAAACAGTTCTGGAAAATTCTATTTTTGAAATAATTTGGTACGGTACATTACAGGAAACAACTATATATTCCAAAATTTCTAATGCTTTTTTGGATATTCTAACATTTTGCGGAATAATTTGTTGGCAAGTAAAGCTCATTTTAAAGTTTTGTTTACTGATGTTAAATAGTCTTGTTTTACTCATAATTTACTGGAATTTACTCAAAGTAACTTTTCAACAATTGATCACATTTAGAAAGAAAGTGAATGTTTCTTTCTTACAAATCTTCACCTCAAAGCCGCTAAAGTTAACTAATAAAGAAACTTGAATATCAACTTCATTGGTGGAAATAAGATTTAAATTTTTTTTATACTTTCCTAACAGCGAGTTTTTCATTTTAACAAGTTTCAAAGTTTTTCAATCGATTGTGTTATGATTTCTGACTTATTTTTGTTTTTATAAATTTCCCATCAATAAATTTCAATCTAGACACTCAATTTCAATATGAGAACTAAAAAAATTGCAAATTTATTGAGTTTTGAGAGTCAGAAAAAAGCAAAAAACAGAAATGAAAACCATTTATAATTTCAAAATCAAACTGGGATAATAAATTAATGCTGAACTGTCAAAACCTGAAAAACGTCATTTATGTAATAAAAAAATAGTCTTTTATCAAATGAAAAACTTTATTTCATTGGTTTTCGTGTTTCTAGCCATTTATACCTTAGAAATTGTGTTGCAAACCACAACTCTCAAAAAATGTAACAACTATGGATTATCTGGTCCAAAGTCTCAGATTTTATTTTAAACTTCATAAAAAAGCTTAATTTTCTAATGTGGAATAAAAAAACTTGCCAAATCTCGACAACTACTTGTTCGATTCTCTTAACATTTTGCACACATGCATAGCAGCCTAAGTCACGCAATGTGTAGTAACTGAAAAGTTTTCAAAAGCCGCCAAAAAATAGAAAACATCCTTCAAATTTTTTCGTTTCATGTTATAACTGTAATTTTTTTTCTGTATTCTCATCACACCACGCATAAAAAATGGCATCAACAAATTAAAATTGTTTAATGATTGTCGTTTTTTATGAATGTGGGTGGGAATTCCTTGGCTACTGGCACAGTAACCAGCTACTTTGTTATAATTGCCGTTCTATTGTGTGCAATTATGTTTCCTGGTGTCTCGGTTCTCGAGGACGAATTTATTGCTGACTATGCCCCCTTATAACACTTACGATACAAGTCCACACAAAGTTACCCACTACTAGAAGGTTTCTGAGGTTGTCATTTGTAGAGTTTTGCTGCATGGTTTTAAAATGCTCCGTCGATAAAATTATTTTTGATTGTTTCAAAATTGGGCTTTGTTGATTTTTGCTGTCATTTTGGGCTTAATGCTTACTCATTTTGGCCTAATCTTTACTCTGTATTTTGCAAGCCCACTATTGAGGTGTTTTTAGGGTGATTACGACAGCTGAGGAGAAGGTCTATGAAAGTCAGCCGACAACTGCAAGCAAGAGTCGCCGATCTTCTGTGCGGTAAGTTGGCTAGCGTCAAACTTTGCTGTTCTCATTTTTTCAACATGCAGCAATTTTCTATTCTAAATTTCCAACAAGATTGCTCGTATCAGGGCGAAGCCCTGAATTTTCCGACTGCCTCTTAAGGTTTTATGAATAAAGTAATAAAATAGAATGAAATTTTTTTTCTAAAGTTTGAAAATTTTTCTTTGAAAATCATCCCCCACACGCCATATAAAGTACAAAACAATAGATTTCGCTCCTCGTAACAAATCAGTTATGGCAAATAAGCTTCTTCCAACCAATTTGGAACAATTTCTAAGACGGATTAAATATCCGCTCACGCGTTAATAGCGCGAATTATATCGCGCGTTAATTGTCCCAAATTGGTCAAAATGGCCAAAATGGCAATCTTTAAACCCTCATAACTTTACGAAAAAAGATCACAGGTGAAATATCTTTTCAAATTTAAGCTCAGGACAACAATACATTTTGAATGATATAAAAAAATTCCGTCAAAAATGGCTAGTTAAAAAGTCGAAAGTTGTCTGAAGAAAAAAAAAAACCCACCCCGAGCACAAATATGCCGTTACTTTCGTATCGAAAGTCGAAACAACAAGACTGCTCGTATCAGGGCGAAGCCCTGAAAATTCCGACTGCCTTTTAAGGTTTATGGAGCAGCAGTAATAACATTTAAGAAATAAAATAAAATAAAATAAATTGAAAAATTTTTTTTCTTAAATTTGAATTTTTTTTTGAAAATCATCTTCCCACACGCCATTTAAATTTCAAAAAGAGAGATTTCATTCCTTGTAACAAATCAGTTATGGCAAATAAGCTTCTTCCAACTTATTTGGAACGGTTTCTAAGACGGACTAAATCTCCGCTTACGCGTTAATAGCGCGAATTATATCGCGCGTTAATTGTCCCAAATTGGTCAAAATGGCCAAAAATGGCAATCTTTAAACCCTCATAACTTCACGAAAAATGATCATAGGTGAAATATCTTTTCAAAAATAAGCTCAGGACAACAATAGCTTTCGAATGATATAAAAAAATTCCGTCAAAAATGGCTAGTTAAAAAGTCGAAATTTGTCTGAAGAAAAAAAAAACCCACCCCGAGCACAAATAATCCGTTACTTTCGTATCGAAAGTCGGAACAATAAAGACAACATGATAAGCACTCGAAACGGAAACAAGACTGCTCGTATCAGGGCGAAGCCCTGAATGTTCCGACTGCCTTTTAAGGTTTATCGAGCAGTAATAATATTTAAAAATTCAATGAAATTTAAAAAAAAAATGAAAAACTTTTTTTTCTCTTAAATTTGAATTTTTTAAAATGAAAATCATCCCCCCACACGCCATATAAAGTACAAAAGGATAAGTTTCGCTCCTTGTAACAAACCAATTATGGCAAATAAGCTTCTTTTAACCAATTTGGAACGATTTCTAAGACGGATTAACTCTCCGTTTACGCATTATTAGCGCGAATTATATCGTGCGTTAATTGTCCCAAATTGGCCAAAATTGCAATCTTTGAACCCCCGTAACTTTACGAAAAATGATGAAGTGAATACAGGTGAAGTGAAATATCTTTTCCAATTTGAGCTCAGAACAACAATACCTTTCGAATGATATGAAAAATTTCCGTCAGAAATGGTTAGTTAAAAAGTCGAAATTTGTCTGAAGAAAAAAAAAACCCACCCCGAGCACAAATATTCCGTTACTTTCGTACCGAAAGTCGGAACAATAATGGCCGCAATGCCAAGAATAGATCAAAATCAAATTAAAGTGATGTTTATACAAATAAGCGTAAATATAGAGTAAATTAAGTGCGTTATGTTATTATTATTAACAAACCGTTTTTTACAAAGATTTTTTTGTTTGCCGATTATCATCGATTTTTAAAAAGTTCTATTGAAGTCTTCCTGTCTAAATTGAAAGTTTCAAAGCTGATCTAAAATTTTTATTTTTCGTACTCTTTATTTTTACCAATTTTTTTCTTTTTTCTTACCCATTTTATCAAAGTGGGAGTGGCGCTGGCCTCCTAACACTCAAGAGAGCTTAACAACTCTTTAGAATAATATAAGCTTTCAGTAGGGTTCAACAAGGTTTCGGTATTGGATCTCTGCAACTGGTTTTTTTTGCAGCGATATGTTGGATGGAAACTTGTCTAAGTCAAATAGAGTCAGTCCAACGTAAGAATTATCATGATTTCAAATATGATTTCAACTGTCATTCTTTAAGTTATCATTCCATAAATAACATCGTCAATCCACGAAAGTTTGAAGTTTGATTTCATCATATAATTGAGTGAATATTTTCGTGAGGTAAATTGTAGGTGTAAATTCTTGTGGGATGAGATTTTATGACACTGATGCATGAAGCTTTAGCATGAGTGGAATTTTAAATTGCACGAATTGTTCATCTTATCCTCAGTGTGTGTTTGTTTGATCAGCTCCTTTTCTATGGACACAGACGCGGGAACAGGGAGTACGCATGACACTTGGATCCACAACGAGAACCACCACCACACCACTCTCGCCCGACATCCGCCGCCAAAAAGAGGAAGAAAACCTCCGAGGATTAGAGACACATGGTGTGTACATGCGTCAGTTAGAACATACAGGGATTTCGGAACAACTTACTCAAAGTTAAGTTTGGAACATCTCATAAAATACCAGAGCTCAAACACTCCTTGAGAAATTCGACATTTATTTGAGAATTTTTAAAACAAACACTCTGTATAATAGCAGTGTATATCTCCTCCTCCTCCCTGCCTCCCCTCCTTTCCCTCCATCAATATCAATTCGGTGGCCCAGTTATTTTGAAAAGTTACTTTTGATTTTTTTTACCTCATTGACTTTTGGCTTCATTAGTCCAGACCTTACAACAGTAATGGTTTTAAAACAAAAAACATGTTTTAGGGTTGAGAAAAATATAACTTGAGTACGTAATTGATAAAATTTTAGGTTTTGTTGATAAAAACAAACAACTTGGAGAGTTGTTTATAGAAAATTTTTCTATACAAGTTCAAAGGTTAACAAAAATTGTTGCGCGTTAATTAAGAGAAAAGAGCCACAATGATTTCATTTCTGCGCATAAAAATTTGTTAATCAAACTTTTCTTCTGAAGCGCTGTCAACACAGACGCAAGACGAGTTTCGGAAGTACCGATTGTTCCGACCTTACTTCTCGCAGAAAAGTCTGTCTCGCCAACTCCGAGTGAAGACGTTGTGGCGGGAAAACCTCCCATTTCCGGTCGATCCAGGGGTGCGATGAGTCATATTATGAAGATTAAAAGGGTAAAAGGTGAGGGTCGTTGCAGATCACGCAACGACAGGCCTCGATCCGCCCCTGGAAATTTCATTTGGAATAAAGTAGTTTTCGTCGGGAGTAGAGGTTCGACGAACTTGTTCGCGACAACTTCGAGTAGCCGAGAGGATTCGCTAGCCGACGGATTGTCGGATTACGCCGAGAGCGATATTTCGACTCCCAAAATGGCGTGGAGTTTTTCGCAAACTATGACCAAAAAGTATTTCTAAACGTTAAATAACTAAAATTTACATCACTAACTCAAAGCGTACTTTCTTTTCTTGCCTAAAAATACTAATTTGCTTTTTAATAGACCATTACTTCATAATGCTTAAATGAAATCAAAAATGTTTGCCCTCTTTTAGCATCTGAGAAATCATTGGTGTGTTTTCTTGAGTGTTTTTTTTTGTTATTCCGTGTTTTTGAATGTCTTGTATTTTGTATGGAATAAACTACAAAAATTTTCTGTAATCAATAATTTACGTATCAAAACTGATTTTTCCATACATTCTTTCACCGCATTTTGTTCACAGAATAACGGAGGAGACAAATTTAAATGAAGACGCAGCGGATAAACCAAACAAAACAGAAGAAACAAAAACAGAAGTAAGCAAAAATAAGCAGGAAAAAGAGGAGGAAAGTTTTCCACTGGAAGACCGAGTCACGCCGTTGATTTTTGGGAATCATTCAGACTTGAAGTTGGAAAAAGAAAACTCAAAAGCCGACGAAAAACCGGAAGAAGCCGGGAGTTTAAAAAGCGACGACAGTAATCAAAACGAGAAAGAAGACAAAAACGAAAAACCATCGAACTCTGAGAGCAAAAACCGACCTCGCACATCGCGTGAATCGAACCGACAGTCGTCTCTCGGACTTGACGATGACTCGAGTACAGAAGCCGATCGGTAAGACTTATTTTAAATACTTGTATAATGAGTTTAAGTCCGGGGTGGCTTTCTCAATAGAGTAATTTCGGATAAAGTACACCGTCTGTTCGTCACGCTATCTTATTTTCGGCCGGATAGATTCGTGCAACTGTTTAGTCAAATACCGATCCTAATCTTACTCTAAGATTTCCTAGTCTCAATAGATATAGTACATTCTGGTATTGATGCGAGGTTAGAATAGAGGAAGAGCAACTGTTTGCTAAGTTAAATTTATTCTTCTCTGGTTGAAACTATAAAGTTTCAACCTTACAATTTATTGTAAGTTTTAGTCACGGATCATGATTAATTAGTTCTAAGTATTGAACAGGAATAGTTCATCAAGAATATAATAGGATAAAATAAATACTTGTTTTGAACTGGTTCCAATAAACAATTCAAATTGAAATATAAACAAGGCTGCTCGTATCAGGGCGAAGCCCTGAATGTTCCGACTGCCTTTTAACGTTTATGGAGCAGTAAAAACATTTAAAAATTCAATGAAATAAAACAAAATCATTTGTTTTTCTAAAATTTGAATTTTTTTTATGAAAATCATCCCCCCACACGCCATACAAAGTACAAAAGGACGGATTTCGCTCGTATTAACCAATAAATTATGGCATATAAATTTCCTTGAATCCACTTGGAACGATTTCAAAACGGATTAACTCTCCGCTTACGCGTTAATAGCGCTAAATATATCGCGCGCTAATTGTCCCAAATTGGCCAAAATGGCAATCTTTAAACCCCCGTAACTTTACGAAAAATGATCACAGATGAAATATCTTTTCGAATTTGAGCTCAAGACAACAATACCTTTCGAATGATCTAAAAAATTCCGTCAAAAATGGCTAGTTAAAAAGTCGAAATTTGTCTGAAGAAGAAAAAAACCCACCCCGAGCACAAATATTCCGTTACTTTCGTATCGAAAGTCGGAACAACAAGACTGCTCGTATCAGGGTAAAGCCCTGAATGTTCCGACTGCCTTTTAAGGTTTATTGAGCAGCAGTAATACATAAAAAAAATTAAATGAAATAAAATAAAATGAAAATTTTTTTTCTAAAAATAAAATTTTTTAAAAAATCATCACCCCAACTATGGCCCAACTATTCCCAACTATGGCAAATAAGCTTCTTTTGACCAATTTGGAACGATTTCTATGATGGAATAACTCTCGGTTTAGGCGTTAATAGCGCGAAATATATCGCGCGTTAATTGTCTCAAATTGGCCAAAATGGCAATCTTTAAACCCCCGTAACTTTACAAAAAACGATCACAGGTAAAATATCTTTTCAAATTTGAGCTCAAGACAACAATACCTTTCGAATGATATAAAAAAAGTTCCGTCAAAAATGGCTAGTTAAAAAGTCGAAATTTGTCTAAAGAAAAAAAAACCCACCCCGAGCACAAATATTCCGTTACTTTCGTATGGAAAGTCGGAACAAAAACAGCTCAGATCTTGCTGGAAAACGATCCAAGCTTGCAGTATTTGAACATAATCTTTACCTAAAAAAGACCCGCATTTTTCAGCGTGTACTTCACCCGAACTCCGAATGGTTTGAAATCTACCAAGCCAGTGGTGCTTGCCAGTGTGACTCCCAGGAACAACGCGACATCCAGAGATCCCGCCAGCGATTCAACAACCAATTCCGAAAACCCAGATAAAAGCCAGAAGTCCAAAATTAAAAATAACAGGGAAAAGGAGCCTGAAAATACAGTCTCAATGGGTCAAGAGCCCAGTAGCCAAATAGGGAATGAGGCTGGGGATTTGAGATCAAAAAAGAATGAGTCCCCGGCGACCGATGCGAAAATAGAAATGCAGTCGGCGAGGGGAAATAAACGAAAGCCTTCAGACGACTTGAACGAGGTATGCTTCCTTGAAACTTATTCTCAACAAACTTTTCCTAATATTGACGCAGAAGTCGTTACTGGAGCAAATACATGCTTATTTTTAAGGAGATAGAGTGCCGGGGACACATAAAGTCACCTCATGAGTCAAGGTGATTCTAAATAGGTACACTTTCTTAAGTTCATAAAAATAGCGCACATTTTTCAAGAAGGGACAAAAGAGAACAAAACTGCTCGTATCAGGGTGAAGACCTGAATGTTCTAACTGTTTTTAAGGTCGATGGAGTAGCGTTCACTTAAAAAAACAAATGGAATTTTCAAAAAAAAAATTGAAAAGTTTTTGAAACTTTTTCAAAATCATCCCCCCCATATGCAAAGTAAAGTACAAAATGGTAGAAATTGAATACAGTGCTGATTTAAATTATCCGGACAAAACGAACAAAACTTGAATTTTCAAACGCGTTTTTCTCAAATTGGGTTAAGATTAGACAAAAAAGGAAGAGGACAAAAGTTGCTTAGAATTTCACCAGAATTATTATGGTGTCATTTTTTCTCCGAAATTCTCAACAAATATTTTACCCCAAAAATGGGTCATTTTGGCTTTTTTCAATTAATCAAGAATTACGCTGAAACTACCTTGTTAATTGATATGAAATTTAGATCACAAGAAACCTCTTACGCAGCTCAACAAAGTTTAAGAAGGGTTAAATCTCCAAAAACCAGTATAAATGAAATTCTTTTTACTTGATAGTCATTAAATGTGATTTTTACTATATAAAACCCAGAATCTCTGTTTAAAAATAAATTTTAAACAATTTGCGCAAATTTTTGGAGATTTAACCCTTCTTAAACTTTGTTGAGCTGCATAAGAGACTTCCTGTGGTATAATTTTCATATCAATTAACAAGGTAGTTTCAGCGTAATTCTTGATTAATTGAAAAAAGCCAAAATGACCCATTTTTGGGGTAAAATTTTTGTAGAGAATTTCGGAGAAAAAATGGCACCATATTAATTCTGGTGAAATTCTAAGCAACTTTTGTCCCTTCGCTTTTTGTCTAATCTTAACCCAATTTGAGAAAAACGCGTTTGAAAATTCAAGTTTTGTTCGTTTCGTCCGGATAATTCAAATCAGCACTGTATCACCAAGTAATTAATACACCAAATAGCATGCCTCAATTCAATTTAGAACGGTTTCTAAACGGATTAAATCTCCGCTGGTGCATAGATATGTTCCGTTTGTGAATTGTTGGCAATTTGGCATAAAAATGTTTTGTTTTGGAGCAAAATCAAAAGGAAATTTTGACAATTTTGCTTAGCTAATTGTTTGTTCAGAAAAATTTATGACGCCGCACTTAGGGATTTTTTTTGTTTGTTTAGCAAGCGGTATCAATCAAGTTGCCGTTTTTTATCTTTTCAAATTTAAGACGCCACGCTTTGGTAAATTTTGCTGTGTAACAAGTGGCATCAAATAGAATGGCCAATTTTGTCTTTTTAATTTCCGTCCATTTGAACATAATTACTTGTCAGTCATTTGGGATGAGTTAAAACAGTATTCAAAATAATTTGCGGCACTGTTAAATAATATTTTGATTTTTGGCACTGCTGTAATTCGGCAAATTTGCCCTGTCCCATCTCAAACTACTGAAAAGAAACTATATGCAAATGAACGGAAGTTAAAAAGACAAAAATGGCCATTTTTTATTTGATGCCGCATTCTAAACACCAAAAGTTCCCCAAGCGCGGCGTCATAAATTTTTCTGAAAATAATTAACTCAACAATTTGATAAATTTTCTTCTCGGTTTCGCTCCAAAACAAAACAGTATTCACGCAAAACTGCCAACGATTTACAAAAAAAACTCAAATTTCTCAAATGATGATTAATTTCTGCGACTGAACGCATTTTCAGTTTCGGCACTGTTGTACTTCAACACTATTGAACCACCCCCTCCCCCTCTCCACCGAAATATCGCACTAATATCATGAAATATATTGCTCGTTAGTTGTCCCAAAGTGGCCAAATTGGCAATTTTAAAACCCCCATAATAATTTTTTAAAATAATCCCAGGTAAATTTGTCTGGAGAAAAAAAACCAACCCGAGCAGAAATATTCGGTCAATTTTTTCGAAAATAGTTGGAACAAAAGTTTGGCAGGTTTAAAATAATAGTTTAACATAACAGTTATTTTCATTACAGGAACGCACTAAAGGAAAAAGTTCAATTGACTCAATAATCTCTCCAACTTCTCAGCCTGACGAAAATAGTCCAACCGATACTTCGGAGAGTCCCACAGATCTATCTCCACTACCCTTTCCCACAACAGGTTCCGTGCGACGGGAATCCACTTTAATTATGCCTGAAGAGCCGCGGGTGCCTAGCGGAGGCACCCACAATACCGTCATTGTCTATCGGCACGCAGAGAACAAGAAAAACAAGAAAAAGAAAAACAACAATAATAACAAACTCCCCCCGATTGGCAAAAATGTCCCCCCGACTCCGCCAGGTGGGATCAATTTGAGTGACTATAAAAACGTGGGTGATAATGGGGACGAAGATGTCAGAAGCAAAAGCGGGGGGAGCTACAGAAGCGTGGACGATACACGTCCAGGCTTCATAGATGCTTCACTACTGAAAGATAAATCAAAGAAGAAGTGAAAACAAAAAAGGGTTTGGAGAAAAAATTTTCCTCGTTGCCTTGAAGATAGTTCAACAACCTTAAAGTTTAAATTAAATGAAGGGGAAAAGCAGAATAAACAAATGATTTCTCAGCTATCATCTGAAAACAGTTGAAACAAAACTTCCACTAAATTTCTTGACCAGAGTTGGCTATTTTCTGTAAATTTGAACGTACATTTCAATTAAAAACAAATAGATGTAATTTAGCGGAATATAATTCATCTGAAACTTCAAATGTTTTCAAATTTCAGATTTCATGTGCGACGATACCTCATACTTGCTTTTTAAATTGAGGTTATTTATGGTGTGAGTTCTTTTTGAAGAAGCTCATTTGTCTCCATTATAAAGCTATCGGCTTTCAAACAATCATTGCGCTGGCGGTTTCAACCTACTTTGTCTGAAAACAAGTTAAAACTTTTCGCTGAAACTGTGATTGCATCGAGCAGAAACCACAATTCAGCGTAAAATGAAATCCAAAAAGTGGAAATAGGTTAAATTTTTTCAATTGGCCGAATTTAACTACAAGGGCCCAAAAGCCAATTTAATCATTAACTCCAAACTTTCGAAATTATGGATGGGGGAGGCTCATATCATAAATGAGTTTTTATTATCTTACTATTTTGTGGGATGCAACCCACTCAGGAAGACGAAGAAACCCACTGCTATCCAGGAAGACGAAGAAAAAAATGTTTTGACTATTTTTAAATACGTTTACCATTTTCCTTAAACCAAAAAAAATATCTGCCAAAATTTCATCCGTGTACCTCGACTGATGTCCAATTTATTTATAAAAATCGCCAGCGTTATGAATAAACGTTTAAAACCGATAACCGAGAAGCTTAGCGACAATACTTGGGTGGCGCCCGTTGAGCCAAAAAAAGAAACTTATATCATAACTTTTAAGCCTCACCCCAGTTGAAGCACAAAAAAGCTTGAAATTCTTTTTTTTGCAATTAAAATGATGCAACCAATTACAATTTGTTCAATGTGGTAGAATCTAATTTGAACAGAATGCACTGGATGTTATGCGGCGATCTGAACTTAACCTCAGTTGATTGGAATACTTTATCAAGTGATGACCAACATGAATCCAGTTTTTTAAAATCAATTGCAAAGTTCCATCTTGGTTTGCTGATGGATAATGACTTTTTACAGCGAAATGTATTATTAACAGACAATCCTTTTTTTATGTAATAACTTTGAAACAAACCAAAGCTTCTCAGATCATCCTGCATTTTCCTGTCAAGTAGCATTCGAAATTGGAACGGAACAGATAAACCTAAGCCATTACTGTATCCGTAAAGCAGAATCAGAATCACTGCGTTTGTTTTTCTTAAGCAACAGACTTCACTGCTCGAATGATGCAAATAGAAAGCTTGAAACGTTCTTTGGGTTGTATTATCAAGCCGTTAACTAATATATTCCAAAAAAGCTCTAGATCCCCCATTGGATGTCATCACAGTCAATAAATGCTAAAAATCGTTTTCAGACGGCATTAAAACATAACTATTCTGACGAGAAAACTAAACGCTGCAGGCGAGTTTTGAATGATTCTTTAGAACTAGACAGAGCCGCTTACTTTAGGTCAATGAAAGACTTCGATTTGAAAGTGACTTACAAAATTCTCAGATCGATAAATGGAAAGTCAAAAATACCCAAGAAAATGTCATGCAAAAATATCAGTTTATACTCTGATTTTGCAATCCGTGAGGCTTTTAACGAGTTTTTTGAATATTTTTGATGAGAACAGACAGCGAGCCAATGAATGTTCCAAAGTCAATTTTCCAGGAATAAATTTATCAGATGTTTTCGTTTCGCAATGCGAAATTTTAAACAAAATTGAGTAAATGCAAATCAGGAATAAATTCAGCTGATGGTATGTCTCCTAAGATAGTAATTTTCGTTTTACAGTTCTGTTTGAATGATATTGTTGAACTGTTTATTTGCATAGTCAGTGATATACAGTTTCCAGATATCTGGAAAATAGCACACATTCATCCTTTACACAAAAAAATTTCTGATATGAACATTGAAATACAGGCCCATTTCAGTACTTCTTGCAATTGCCCTAACATTTGAACGAGTTTTATATAACAAGATAAAGGGTTTTATTCAAAAAAATTTATGTAAAAACCAACTTGGATTTAGAAACCATCATTCGACTGTGACAAACTTTATATTGTATTGATGTTGTATACAAGAAATTAGAACAAGGAGAGTTACTTTTCACGCGTTTTTTGGACATTTCAAAATGTTTCTACTCTCTTAGCCATAACATCATTTTATACATGCTTGCCAAAATAGGCTTCGATAATGAGTTTCTTCATTTTTTTGCAGCTTTTATCACAATTAGAAAACAAATAATATTTCTTCGTAATACATTGTCTCTTTCCCGCAATATAACAAGTGGTAGTCCACAAGGATCAATTTATGCAGTGTTTTTGTTTTCTTTATATATAAACGATATGCCAGATATTTTTGACAACCCTTTATTTTTATATGCTGACGATACAACAATTATTGGAAACTGGTTTGACCTCTCCTCGTGTCAAACAGATTTAAGCAAAATCATAATCTGGGCAGCAGAAAACAGAATTGACTTCAATTTTAACAAATTTGAAGAAATTAGATTTCAAAAATCCTTTTACCCTTTGAATGATACCCCTTAAGCAATCTTTTATTTTTTGACGGAGAACAAATATTTTTAGAAGACACGGTGAAAGACCTTGATGTTTGGTGCAATTTTAAAATGTCATGGATATACCACAGCACCGAAAATTTTAAAAAAGCAATTTATTTACATCAGAAGATCTTTACCAAACTCACTGAGTAGCTCTGTTCGAGTCGCTTTTTAAAATTGCATACTATCAATAACTTTTTATGTTGTTATTTCCAGTTTGGTTTGCGATTAAAAACCAATGTAAGGGAAAAGAAAAATTTCAACGACGATGAAAAAAATGGTGTTACAAAAAACCTGAATTGAATGATCAGGATTATGTTTTTTACTTTAAAAAAGCAAGCTGTTGCCAATTTCACTGACGTTATTTAAAAAAAATTTATTTTTGCTTTAAAAAAATAGTTCTTATTAACGAGTTGTCGTTATTTTTTCTTGAGTTTTGCACAATCGACAATGGCCCTGATTCAAATCGAACGGTAAACAAGACCTTTTTGAGAATGCCAGCCAATGATAACACCGAGAAAACTATGTGAAATTTTCTTTTAACGTGTCGCAGATATGTCAAACACCCTCGCAATATCGAACATTTTGCCTGGCTATGATCCTTTTCAAGAACTTGTAATTTTTAAAAAGAATCTGAACCTGTTATTGGTTGACAAACTACAAACATTTGAACACTCGATTTATCCAGAGTCATGGTTTTTAAGTTTAATTTACAAACTTTATTATCTCTGATTTAGAGCAACTAGTTCCCGCCTTGAGGGTCTAATTCTATCTTGTTTTTATTTATTAATATTATATAACAGAAGCTGGTACAATTTAGGCGAAAAACGTAGAAAAGAATTCTTTTAAGAAACAGTTGGTAAGTTTACAAATTACAGATCAAATCTAAATTGCAGTATAATTTGCTCCAAGAATAGTCAATGCGTTTAAAAATAAACCAAAAAAAAACAACAGAAAAAAAAATTCCCGGCAATTCAAGTTTTCACAGAACAAACAATTGTTGTTTTGGTATTAATCAAAAAAAAGCAAGAGGTTAAGCCAGAAGTCGAAACTTAGTCAATCAAAACCAGAGCACACGCGCTTTACCACTGAGTTAAGTAGAAAATAGCCTTCTAGTAATTCAGGTTTTGTAATAAATCATGGTATTTGTCGTACAAATTAGTATGAAAATTTGTTCAGTACGATTTGTGTCATAAAAAAATTCTCGTAAAAAACTCAATTTTAACTTTTTCTTAGTTTTTATTGAACGTTTTTTTTCTGAGAGAAAAATAAAAGATTAAATGAGCAATGATAAAAAATAGTTATAGCTTTAAAACTAAAAAATGGGCTAGTAGATTTTATCATATAGTAGAAAACAGTCCTTATACAGTGAAATGTTGTGACTCCGGGTTTTTGTTCCGACCATTTAAAAAAAGTGGAGAAAACTTGTATTCGGGTGCTTTAGTTTTTTTCTTTTTCTTTTTTTTGTTTTCCACGCAAAATGTGATACTACAAAAAATCATCGGAATTGGTCGAGTGACATCTCTCAAAAACTGTTTTCTAGGCCAATTTTTTTTGAATGTCGAATAAGTTTTATAACATTATTAGATCAAACTGTGCATTTTGTCAAATATTGGCGGACTCCGCAACACGCCAAATTCAGATTTTTCCCGGAATCCACAACATTGCTAGTTTTCTTTGATCTTCTTCGCTGTTTTGGATTCCACGGACAAATAGTTAAAACACTATTGCTCAAAATTGCTCCAAAAAGCAGTAACCGGCTATCCTTGTTCTAGTACTTTTTGATTTTAAAAAAACATGAAGCTACATGATAAAGATTATGATTATAGACAATCAATCTGTCTTTTGCAATCACTCGTTGTAAACAACAGCAAAAAAAAAGTTGAATGTTAAGAGTCTAGGAAAAGAAACTGCCTAAATTACGTACTTGACCAAAATTCTCATCCCGTGACAACAAAACCACTGCTGTTTTTTGAACAATTTGATGAAGAACTGATTCGTAAAAACCAGGCATCCGTGATTCCGTTTTGTTTTTCAAGATTTGTGATAGTTTATGCAATTAAATAAAATAATAATTCAAAAACACAAAACTGAACCGACGCAAAAGCGTAACACAAAAAACAGCGGCTATGATTTTTAAACTTTTATTGCAAAAACGTTGCGTATCTTCAGCAGATACGTAATCGTGGCAAACAAAAGCCACGCTATCCAATTTTACGCTAATTTGTTCAAAAATTTACAATGGAAATTTGTTTATGTGCCATGATTAAAATGATTATAATAGCGTCAAAGCAAATTTTTGCTTTAGCTGGCAAGAAGAGAAATACTGCCATAATTGATTCCATGAACAAATGAATAAGCAAACTTCCTCGGAACAAATGCTGGCATTGTGGCTGTAAGGGTGGACGTTCGGGTTATCCTATGTAAAAAAAAGTGTTAAGGTAGGGACTGTAGCCGGAAATTTTGCGACGTTTTCTTATTTGCCGACAACATTATTGTAACTTTCCTAGATCATTGAGGAAATTAGTGCTGTTTTAACTGTCTCAATACGAAAAAAGCCAAGTTACAGTACTTTCGTGTAGTGCTTTCAATAATGAATTTCGTGCCAATTGAATGCGGGGTAAAAACATATGGGGTTATGGCGTTAAACACAAGATATGTGGGTTTAAGGACTTACGGCTCAAGCTAATTTACAAACGGCTTCCATCACGACGGTTCTTTTTCTAGCAAGCGCTCGCTTTTCAGATCTGGTCGTTCAAAAACGATTCCAACAACCAAACTTGAATTTAAATTAAAATATAGATCAAATCGTATGTTTAAGAATAATATAGAAAAATAGAGTAAGTGGAACGTATCTAAGAACAAAGTCAACTGCTAAGTTGGAAAAGTTGAACTGAATGCAAAAAGTTGAAAAAAATCTTAACTGGTTTAAACTATAAATCAAAACAATTTTCATCCTCTCATTTCGTCCAGTTAATTCGAAAGGTCTTAATTTGCTGCTAAACTATAACAACAAATGATTAAAACTTTACTGTTCTTGCTATCAGTTCAACTTGATATAATTGAAAAATATTCACAATTAATGATTCAACACAGATACAAAATAACTAATGATCTAAAAGAGTCGCTCTGCGACTAACATCATTATTTTCCTCTGATTGTAAACAAAATATTATTTAATAATATTCTAAACGTAAACAGTTACTGCTCGGCAGGAAAGGCAACACTTATCAAGAATGAGACATAAATCACGGATTGAAAAGAAGGGCTATTATCGTGACAGAGAAAACCAAAGTCAGAATATTCCAACCAATCAAATCCTTTCAAAATTGTCCAAAGCGCTGACAAATTCGCGCTATTACATTCACCTTTTGTGTACTCAATTGTAATGGTCTAATAGAAGTCACTGACATTCGGTCATTATGTCACGTGGGTGGGAGAATTTCCCCAATGGAAAAGATAGAGATTTTTTAATACATTATGCACAATTTATAAATAGTACCACTAAAAACAGTTTAGTTCATGTTGCATCAAACTCTGCTCATTGTTGTTCAAGATTAGTTAGTTCACTTCACTTTTACCCTCTTTTCTTTGAAATTTCTTCTTGGTCCCTTTTATTCATCTAGTGAAGTTGGTTCCATCCTGCAAGCAAAAAAAAATCATTAATACTGCAAACAGTGGTTTTCATTTCAAAACCAAAAGTTCATTTTCTGACAATATATTCTCGCATGATCGTATTCAATTACTCAGCGGTGGCAAAATCCCGGGGGGTCAAAGATACCGAGATTTGGATATTTTTTGACCTAAGGCGTTTTTTTTCATTGCGGGGAGATTTTATCATATTAGGAGTCTATGAAGAAGTGGATTTATGTTGCGGGGGAGGAAGAGTTTCAACATTTCAACATTTAATAACCATTTTCAGTTATAACCATTTTCAACAAACTTTATTAATTAACTAAGATGAAGTCAGATATTTATAACCATTTTCAACTAACTTTATATGCATTTTCAACTAACTTTATTAATTAACTAAGATGAAGTCATATATTCCGCAGAAATATCAAATATCAAATTAATAATCTAATTACTAAGCTTTTTAAAAACGATTAAAACGTTGACGAGGACTTTAACCCCAAAAAGACTAAAAAATGTTTTCAAGAAGTTATAGACTTTTTCCTGAAAAATCAAACAACAAAAATAAGTGAGATTTTACATTACAAATTATGTATGTCTATTTGCAGCAAAAAAAATCATATTTTCATAAGCCAAGACCAAACCAAGGCCAGTTGGCAATTAGATAAAGCAAACTCAGGAGGCAATAATCTAAACATACAGCTAACAGACATACGAAAAAAGTCAATAAACTCGAGTGAACAGAAAAAAAAACTTAATTTTTGCAAAACTCAACTTTCGAATTTCAAAGAAAACAGAGAAGTACAATTTATGATAGGCTTTTTAAAACAAAATTACTCCAATCTCAGAAAACGTAAAATCAATAAGTAAAATTTTTATACAGCTGGAAAATCTAAAAAAAAATCCATTTTCGAAGTTAGAATTCGATCACATTTTTCGTGACCAGTACACTTTTGTGGTTCGATAGTGGAGTTGCCTTCCTTTTAAGAAAGGAAAAAAAACTGATATTAAAACGAAATTAAAAATCAAACCCCCAAAAAAGTTAATTTGAGCCTGAACAAAATTTTTACTTTTCCTAAAATAAAAACAAAAAATCATAGCGACCTATGTAAGAGTCTGAACTACGTTCATCGACACTTAATAAAAAATTCAATCAAAGCCTATTTGAAAAAAGGCCTATTTGAAAAAAACCAAAATCTAACTAGAAAAACTGTTTAAAAAACTAAACGAATCTTTTAGCAAATTAAACGCTGAAACTTATTTAGCGCTAATACACTTAAGTTCCGATGAAATTGTCTGCAGGTTTTTAATGACCAATTACAGAATATTGCCAATTACTCTAGCATGATTGTGCTACAAACTGTTAGGACGCAGAATATTCGAGGACACCCATTTGGAAAAACCTAATTTTTATTTTTGGATTACGATTTTTTTATATTTCTATTCGCTCAAGACTTTTATGACAGAAACTTCTATTCAATTAATTTTTATTCAACGTTTATTCAATTAGAACAACTAAGAAAATGATTTAAGTTGTCTAAAATCATTACTGTGTCAAAACCTTGGTAGAACACTCATGTTCTTGATCCCCTTACATGAATATTTCATAGCAAAGCAGTTAGGAAAAACGCTTGAACAAAAAGCATTGAAGAAGATTATTTCACCTAAAGCTGGATTGAGCTCAACAATTGCCGCTTCAAAGGCAAAACTTGAGCAACCTAATAAATTCACCTACGCTTGACTATATTAAAACCATTAAGCATTAAATAGTTTCATGTAATAGCTGATAGTTACAACCACGCAGCAAAGAATACGGATATCGCTAATAATACGCAAAATCACCAAAACCTGAATCGTCAAACAAATATCGTGTTTAGTCATAGCCGCAAAATGGACAAAAACAAAAAATGTCGTGTTTATTCATAGCTGCAAAATGTCTGGAGCATCTCATTAAGTCACAAAAAGTGTAACAAAAACACTATAGACAAAAAATTGGCTCTATCCTATTCAAAATCTCAAAAAAGACTGAAAAAAGTGGCAGAAAAAACCTAGATTTGCCAAGAGCTAGATTTTCCATTCAAGTATTGATGAACTTAAGGAAGCCGTAAAAACTACCTTATTAACCAAATTTCATCATTTGACACAGGCAAAGCTGCAGCTTCGCAAACACAAGTGAGAAAGCGGCAAAAGATTTGTGAGCTTTAAAATGCACAGAAACACAAGTTCTGCATGTAATAACTTGATATGATAAGCTAAATGCAACCAGTTTAATTTTACATGCAATTAATTAGTAAGTGTAAATTCAAATTTTTTATAAATTATTCGCAAAACATACCGAGTTTGACAACTTAAGAAAAAAGTTCATATAATTTTACTGTTGTATGAGACAAATAGCAAAATGCATCATGTAATAATTAATCACAAATCAGTTGGCAAAGCACATGGTATTATAGTGCCGATGCAGGCTCCTGATTTAAAAGTGCCATCAATAAATACCATTTTTATTTTCGAATTAGGTTTAAAAGAAGTTGCATCGTAGTATCACACTACGGCTATGCTTGTTTAAAAACGAAATATAGCCAACACACAGCACGCAAGAAAGCAGAAAAACTAAAATCGACTTTCGAAACTAGAAGTAGACCACGTTTTTCATGACCTTTACTATTTTATGTACGATAGTGGATGTTGCCTCATTCTCAGCACAGGAAATGAAGTGAACTTGAAAAAATCAAAAAATCAAATTGAGCCTAAAAAACAAAAAACCACCAAGACCTATATACGAGTTTTCACTACGTTCATTCTTCTTAATCATCACGATTTATATAAGTGACAATCTCTTCGTTCGTCTACACAACATTTTGAGTTCGTTGACATTTGAAAGTTGCGTGAATTCTTGATTGTTGCGTGAATTCTTGAAAGTTGCGTTCCAGAAATGCATTACAGCATAAAAAATTCGACCTTCAAACCAACTTGGTAACAGCTAAAAAAATTTCGTGGACAAAACTAAGATATCAAATATGACAAGCATCCATTTAGTTTCAGCCAAACAGATCAATTTCACATACCGTGAGTGGTAGAGTTATTTAGGTAAACTACTTCATTTCTTGCAAGTTTTTTAAATTGCGAATGGATTTGTGTGTTACTTTCTGGTGTGCGAGTAGTTTTGATGCAGATGAAAACTGTTTTGGTGCTAAATGAAAACTCGATAGAAAGCTGTTAGAAGAAGTCTACAGAGACTAAAGGATTCGATACACAGCTTCCGGCTAAAAATATGCCCATATTAATCGCTAAGCCATAGCTGCCTGTCTAAATACGCATGCATCTCTCAATATGTAGTTTAATTGTTTTAATCCACCTAGTGCATTTCTGAAAATTAAAATGACATCGAACCTAAATTTAGTTCAAGTCTCTTCGCTCCATCACCACCTTCTTTATTTAAGATAGCAATTTACCTTCTATTTAGCTAATTCATTTAGTGAGCAAAAATATTCATGAATCCAACAGCAAAAAAAAATTTGAGCTTGATCAACTTATCCAGACAAAAAGAAAAACATCATCAATGCCTATATAAAGGAACATAGCCAACTAACAGTTGGAAAAGAGTAATGAACGCAAGGAAGCAGAAAAAGAATTGACTTATTTTTTGAAAAAAAAAATTCAAATTGCAAGTTTTAAAGAAAAAATATATGTCCCTAAAGCTCTTCGAAATTCACGAACAATTTATGTTCGACCATTTTTTGATAAAATAAAGCCAATTCGAGGCAATCGGATCAAAAGGTTAAATTTTTATTTCGCTGGGTAACCCGATAATAAAGCTCCATCTTCGAAATTAGAAGTCGATCACGTTTTTGTGACCTTTACATTTTTTCTGTTTGAAAGTGGAGTTTGCCTTCCTTTTAACAAAGAAAATGCAATAAATTTGAAGAAAAGTCATTAATCGAACAAAGGCAAAAAATCAAAATTGAACGAGAACAAATAATTTCAAGACTTTTTCCTGAAAAAAAAAACAACAAAAAAAACAAAGACCTACATAAAGTAATCACTACGTTCATTGCACTTAAAAATCACTTCGTTCGTACAGTAGTTATTTTAACAGTAGTTAAAACAGATATTTTAATGTAAGATGAAACAACCTCTATTAGGATGCAGATTCCAGTCAAACAACTGTTAGATGATGTCAGCAATCAACCAGTAACTAAATGTGGTGAGTTCAAACTGAAAAGCAGTTCCAATCAAACAAGCAGGCAACAGCAGCTGAGCAAACAGTTGAGCACGCATGGTTGCATCACTAGTGATGATGTTGTTGTTGGTTGTGGTTCATGAACTGAGTATTGTTAGGTGATATATGAGCTCTATTGATTAATCGGTGACCTCTCAAATGATGCACATTGCCCACATTCGCTGCATTCAAAGCCAGTTGTGACTGTGCTGGAAAATTAGGCGAGGTCATTTGTTGGACCGAGTTGTTACCAGGAACTAAATCGCTCTGGTTTTGAGTCTGATTTGGTAGTGTGTTACAGGTTAGTGGTCCAAGTCCATGTCTGGTCGCTACACTACTAACGTTAGGATACGAAGATACTGATGCTGGATTCAGGTGAAATTGGGACACCGTGTGTGGTAAGGATGATGATGAGGAAGCTGAGGTTACATGTGCCGAAGATACGGATACCCTGTGGTGTTTCAAATTGTGCATGCCTGGATGATGAACAATCTGCTGATTATTTCCACCTGTGATAGACTCCTGTTTAATCACCTGTGCTTGATTCTGAATCGGCATATGCGATGATGATCTGCTAGAGTGGCCTTTTTGCTTTCCGCTCGCACCTAACAGGTCGCCGCCTACTCCTAAAACCGCTGTCGTGAAATTTCCAGTCGCTCCACTTGGCGCAAATGATCCCGTTCGAATCTGTTCACGCATTCTTGTAGATGTAGCCAAACTTTCATTTTCGAACATTTCAGCTGAGAACTTGACAGGCGGCTGTGCCATGGCTAAGGCTTCCACTGTGAATTTGTGGTCTAAACTAGAATTCGTTATGTTACTATTATTACTAATACTGTTTTCTGTCGTGGCCGAGTGAAGTTGCTGTTGCGCGGTAGACAGAGCACCTGACGCGGCGCTTTTCAAAACTGCGTTCGCTTCTCTCTCGGCCAATACTTTCAGACTGTGTGACTTCATATGAGCGTTGCGACTCTTCACTTTGTGGAAGATCCTTAAAAACAACCATAACTTCACATCATGAATAGTCGGAGTAACAAAATAAACCATTTCATGTTACTCAATGTTCGCAATATTTGATGACTTAAAGATAATCGTCAGTTTCAAAATCTATTCAGTTACTACAATACATAATAGTCTCCATCCTTATTAAACTAACTAAATAACTGTTCGAGCTTAGTAAGTTAAAGAATTGTTACACCGCCCAATAATTACGGAAACACATTTTCTCCTGATTTTAGAGAAGAAGGTTTATTTTTTTCTGCGCAGAGAAAAATAATTCTCAAGCAGCACCACAAATTGTTTCAACTATCCGAAAGAAAATTATGAACTCACTTTCCGCATAGTTTACATGGAAAATATGAGCAATCGGCAGTTGTTGTTGTCGTCTTCTGATTGGAGCCACCCGACACGCCCACACTCACATTCGGCACCAATTGCAGTTCGCCTGCTACTGATGCCGATGATGTCAGTCCAGCTCCTGATGATGACTCATTTGACATTGCCTTCTTACTGATTGCCGATTCGATTGAGCTGAACGATGCAAATGATGGCTCCTCACTTCTGTTGCTGAAGTAGGGAAGTTGGTCTACGGAACTGAACGACCACAGATCAGAATCATTCGAGACTTCCTCGCTACTTTTCGGTTTCTCGGACGAAGTGTAAGAATGCACAGAGTGCGGATTCGAGAGCAGGTCAAGCCTGGCCTCTTTTCTGGTCACTTCGTTTTCCAGCTCGCATGAACGACTCAGTCTGCGACGTTTGCCGAGCACTTCTTCGCCATTTCGACCGGAATTTAAATGCGCCAGCGGATCTTCTATCTCATCCTGAACATATTAGAATTAATTAAGTATTGTATTTAAAAGCATCCAAAACCAATACTTCTTCCGAACCAAATTTCAGTTCATCTGCATTTGTTTAACGATCAAAACTATCAAAAACACACTAGATCTGTTCGTTTCCTAAGTAAAGATAAATCTTCTCAAAAAAACAATTTAACAGCACAATACAACCTTAACAAACAATTTTATAGTCAATTTTACTAGTTTTGTAATTATCATCAGTTGAACCTTACCCTATCATCAGGTAAATGATGACTCACCTGTTGTGTGAGGGTCAAATTTTTGAAACTCTCGGTCCCGTGTGTGAATATCTCATCATCGCATGTGTCTTCCACTGGCATTGAGTAATCTTCTCCCTCCCCTCCTTCAGGGGTGGTCTCGTTCGGACACAGCACCTTCCAGTCGTAATAGTATTCCACAATCTGCCGGATACTTTTGCTTCTCAGCTGAAACAATCACAAATAAAGTCATCAGATCAAAATTTTTCGACTGATATTCTGATAAACATAGCCAACAGAAAGTTGGAAAAGAGCAAATGAATGCAACTAAACAGAAAAAAATACTAAAATTTGTTATAAAAAAAATCAACTTTCGAATTTCAAAAAAAAATCAAAGGAAAAGAACAACTTGGGCCTTGAACTTATTCGCCCAAAAAACATTACTTCAACATATTTTTTGTCGATTTATTAATAAAGATCAATCTTAACAACAGAAAAACCAATAAAGCAGCTACATATGCTAACAAATTGCCAATGGGATTCAGCACCAAATAGAAATAGACTCAATTTAGCAATTAAAAATTTGGAATATAACAAACTGAAGGCACCCACACTAACTTAGCATGTAACAAATAGCAAAGCATTAAGCCACATTGTAATAATTATACATTTCAAAAAATTGCAAGATATAATGAGTTAGAAATTTTCTGAAACCGAGTTTTTATTATTGTGATGTTGTTTGAAACAAATAGTTTCATTTGATGAATTTAAAAATGGATCAACAGTGTTAATTTATTACTACTTGAATGTCAAAGCACATGCTATCAAAAAAAATGTAAAGGTGCCCCATTGGTGCGGCAATTATTGGGGTACCGCGCCATAAAATTGCCGCACCAAAGATTGCTACTTAGGTTGGAAAAAAGAAGGTTCGTTCTAACACATTAGCTTCGCAAAAGTAAAGACCAAAAAAAAACAGAAAATTGCTTCAGGAAAAAATAACTACCTTCAAACCTGCTTAAAATTCGGCTAAATCAATCAGTGCGCTCATTGTTTTGTTCTCTGCATTTATACATTGAGTATTACAAAATCGCAAAATTCAGAAATTTGGGCGAATAAATAAGAAGACCCCTGAGCTTAACAAAATCAAAAATCAAACACCGATAACGTAAATTTGAGCCTAAAACGAAAAAACTCATCGCGACCTATATAAGAGTCTGAGCTACGTTCATCAGCTCTTAAACATTAGCTAAATAAGCTGCACTAAGAGAACACCACCGTTTTCGATTAGCTGAAATTATAAACATAGCAAACAGATAGTTGAAAAACAGCCAATGAACACAAGTAAACAGAAAAAATTCTGACTTTTTTTTAAAAAAAAACTCAACTTTCGAATTTCAAAGAAAAACCAACATGCCATAAAAGACCTTTGAACTTCAAGAACAATTTATGATTGACACTTTTTTGATAAAAAATAAACCTAATTTGAGAAAACTGGATCAATGAGTAAAATTTTCGTTTCTCTGGGAAATCTGAAAATTAAATTCCACTTTCGAAACTAGAAGTCGATCACGTTTATCGTAAATTTGCTACTTTTGCTGCTCGATAGTGGAGTTTGCCTTCATTTTAAGAAAGCAAATGAGTTGAACTTGGAGCAAAATCAAAAATCAAACCCCCAAAAAAGTTAATTAACAACTTTTACTGAAATAAAAAAAATCATCGCGACCTATATAAGAGTCTGAACTACGTTTATCGACTCTTAAACATCAGTCGAACTAAGTGGCACTAAAATATCAACCCTGTTTTCGATTACCTCAATTTTTTTTTCTAGATATTCCAGTCCGTTAGCAACACAATTTATAGCTATTATATTTTTTAGTCTCGACTGACAAAAGTTTAACGCGCTAAACTGACATCCACTCTCTCTCTAAATTGTTCAAGTTAAAATTTTACTACCAAGAATTAATTCCAAAAAATTGCTCAGTACTGTATGAATTACTCGATTCTGATCAGCTAGAAGTGTTGTTTCATAATCAATTAAAAAATCCCAACCCGACTGTGATGTTGACGTTGGAAAGGGTGGAGGTGGTTAACTTGCTGATGCTTACCTCTTTGGATATGAGGAAGAAGTCTTTTCCGAGTCTATTGTAGGCCCTGTTGAACTGCATCCTCTCCCAGTGACTCCAATACACACTGCTCTGGTAGGGATAGTCCACGAATGGACATCTACACCAAATTTGGTAAGAGATAACAAAACTGCCCACTGAAGAGTAATAAAGCAATGCCAACAGACAGTTGGAAAAGTGTCAATGAACTCCAGAAAACACTTCAAATTTCGAATTTAAAAGTAAAAATATACCCTTGAAGCTCTTAGAATTTCAAATATAATTTCTGATAACTATTTATGATATCAAGAACAATTTATGAGAAAACTGGACAAAAACCAAAACCTTGAAACCCAAAAAAGAAAATCCATTTTTAAACTAAAATTCTTTAACGTTTTTTGCGACCTCTTCTTTTTGGCTCTTTGATTAGCTTTCCTTCCTGTTAATAAAGAAAATGAACCAACTTAAAATAAAAGCCAAACCGCGAGAAAATCAAATTTAGGTGTGCATAAAATTTAAGACTTCTTCCTGTAAAAAATCATCACGACTAATACACTACATTCAATGACACTTAATCATGAAAACTACAGTGAAAACCAAACTGTGATAAGAAAAATAAACAAAAGTTATCAAAACTTGGACGTGATATATTTTTTGGACGAAGCTTTTTAAATTTCAAGAACCTTTTGTGACTGGCACATTTTTTATACACTACAAGACTGGCATTATTATACAAATCACTACGTATGAAAAAAAAAATGATTTCAGAAAAACTGTCGAAAAACACAAACACTAGCATTAAATAAGCTTTCATTTAACGAGCGGATTCTAAGAGGGCAAAATCGCAACAACCATTCATAAATCTGCCACAAATTTTGTTGAATTTGAGGAAAACAGGCAGGTCGAGCAATTGCTGAAGTCCAATAAAACTCAGCAACTTTTATCGAGCAGCATTAGAGTCGACAAAACTGGGGTATTTCACCGTTGAGTCGAAACTAACTTTTGCCATGGCAAGCTTTCAGCTTTAAAAATCTAAAAATCTAAGACTTTCGTTGTTTTGTTTTCGGAGGGGCAGAGGCGTAAACATTTTGTCTCCATTCATACGACGGAAAAGTATATCACTACGTCAAAAAACATAAGCCGAAATCAATTAAGTCAAATAAATTGTTAAACCGAACAAGAAACAGGATAAATAGTTGGAGAAAAGTAATGAACGCAAAGAAACAGAAAAAAAAACTGACTTTTTTCTTGACAAAACTTCAGCCTTCCAATTTCAAAGAAAAAAAGAGATGGCTTTAAACGTCTTTGAATTCCTAGAACAATTTATGATTGATACTTTTTTGATGACATTAACTCAAATTGAAAAAACTGGATCAATACGTAAAGATTGTATTTCGCTGGAAAATCTGATAATTAAAACCCACTTTCGAAAGTAGAAGTCGATCAGGTTTCTCGTGACCTTTACACTTTTGCTGTGCAATAGTGGATTTTGCCTTCCTTTTAAGGAAATGCACTGAATTAAGAAAGAAATCACACAAGCCAAACCGCTAAAAATCAAAATTAAGCGTGAACATTTTTTGGAATTTTTCCTGAAAAAAAAACAAAAAAAGTCACCAAGACCTACATAAGAGTCTTCACCACGTTCATTACTTTTAATCAGGGCTAGTAAACTTGCAAATTAAAAGGAAAACACGAAAGCATTAGCAACTACAGTGAAAACAGCTTCGAGCACAAAAACACTTCCGCGATGTGCCAATTAAGCCGGCAGAAGAAAAATTATCGGCGGACTATATTTTAAACGTTTTTTTTTTCAGTTTGGGCTGAATTTTTACATTAGGACATCCGCCGTCCCAGGCGTAGCCGTTTCCTCTAGGCCAAATGTACCAGAATTCAATCACATTTGTACGCCTCATTTCCGCTTTCTTAATTGGAGAGCGTAACTTGCCTTCCCTGTAACAAACTAATTTAAACTGAACAAGAAATCAGACCGCATGAACAAATATCCTGAAAAAAACCGAGAAAACACGGCCTAAATATGTCTTCATTTCGTTCATTGACACCCAAAAAAAACACCTATTCAAAAATGTGAGACTTCAGATCAGAGTTTAACTACTTCTATAATCTAGTTCACAATTCTGCGTGCACAGTGTAGTTCACAATTCTGCGTGCACAGTGTCCTGTCTCATTCTTATCCCAATAAGTAGAAAGGTATTTCATTTTGATAGTCTTATCCTGAAATATCAAAATTAACGTGTTCCCTGCTGACTGAACCTGACTGACCTTGACTCCACGACCCTGGTCTTCCTTCTCAATAACATGCGAAGTGCGGCCTTGATGCTCCTGGACAGATGCAACACGTGGTGGGCTAGTTCCACGTTGCTTCCCCCTCCATTTATTGCACAGGACTGCGACAGCGCAAAGTAGTCTTCCACTGAAAAAAAAACAACATCCTTCAAAGAAAAAGAATCCTTCAACGAAAAAGAAGCCCCTAACATCTAATCATTACTCAGCATGTCATGTCTAATTGTGGAGACCAATTAGAGTGTTTGGTATCGACGGATATGTTTGAAAGTTGTTTCACTTTTTTTTCTAAATTAAGGTTATTTTATTGTATTCATGAAAAACATAAATCAATAAGCTTGAGAGCTGGACATAATTGACTGGTTTGATTACTTGTGTTTGCTTATCATAACTATATTGTTGTTTTCCAATCCTTTCAATTAGATCGTTCTTCGCATTTAATTGCCAATCTTTTCGTCCAATTTTATTTCACTCACACTCAGAATTCGCGAAAAGCTTGCACGTTGACGGACTCCATAGATGCACGCTGCGATCTCTCGTCACTTCTGCTCTAGACGCCGAGGAGGGGGATGATCCAGCAGCAGTTCCAGTAGTCACCAAGTCCGGAATATCCGCTTGGAACTTCTGGCCTACGTTGATCACCGGGTCCTGCACTTCTTCCTTCGGAGGCGTGAAGGGCGTGGGTGGCACGAATTGGGAAGCAAACAGACCGGACCCATTTCTCAGGGGGTTCAGCATCGGAGGAGGAGTGTAGGGTATGGAGGATGGAGCGGAGGAGAGAGCGGTGCATCCCGAGTTCCTCTCGAGAATAGATGACGCCGAGAGAGGAGCTCCTGTTGACTTCTTTTGCACCATTGGGGATCTGCCGGCGATATCCAATCTGCAATTCAGAAACAGTTCAGCAATATAAAAGCCTATTATATGACCACTAAACACATTTTCACATCGTTGATGCAACAATTAAAAACATATTTTTTCCCGCCGTTTCGATGTTTTTCGTTTCGATGTTTTTCGAATACTCAACAATCTTTTCTGTTATTGAAAAAGTTTAATTTTTTTCAAAAAATCTACAAATATATATTTTTTTTCAAATTCTTATGTCCAACCTCGACTAACGCGTCAAAAACGCCTCAATTTTCTTTGATCTTTGAAAGACAACCAGACGGTCAAAAAAATGTTATGTTCAAAACCCAAATTGTCAAAACCACGCAATGATCCTATAGCCAAACCGTGATCCGGAGAGCAAATAGTTGCAGCAGATCTGATTTAAGTACTGAAAATGTGGGAAAAGTATTACCATAGCAGCTTTTTTCTGCAAATTGTCGCAACTGTAGAAAAACACTCACTCACAGAAAACGTTTGAGCCATCAACAGTCACATTGATTGTAGGCGTATTGCGAAATGTCAAGGTAATTAAGCGTCAACTCTTTATTGAACATCTTTCAAACCTTTTTCTTTTATTTTATTTACTGAAAAATTACTACCACCAAAATCTCTCATTTACTGCTTATCGCTTCATTTAATGTATGCCCTCGTCTATGTTAACAATAAGAGTTAGTACAAACGCAAAAAACAGCAAATGCGTACGTAACGCGTTTGTTTTCTTTGCAGTAGAGCAATTAACTGATCATAGTTTCGCTTTCTACTGTTTTAAAGAAAACAGTTGACTTTGAGAAATGTGAAACTGATAATGAAAGTGGTGCTACACAAAATTATATCATATCGCAATAGATTTACTTTTTCAAAAAAATGAACTCGTGTTACCTTGGAGATTTGAGCCAACTCTGGAACACAGTACCAGCTGATCCAGTGGTTCCATGGTACTCTGGGTTGTTTATTTTCAAGGGGGTCGGTTTGGACTTTCGTTTGATACTCCGGTATTGAGTAGGGGAACATGCAGGTGGCTGCGGCTGTCGCGGCACCTGTAAAAAGCAGAAATATTGTTCAAAAATAGCCAATAGACAGTTGTAAAAATGCCAATGAACGCAAAAAAAGTACTGTCTTCTTTTGTGAGATCTCATTTTTCGAACTTCAAAGAAAAAAAATAGATACCCATGAAGCTCTTTGAATTTCTAGAACAAATTGCGATTCGCACTTTTTTGATAAATTAACTCAATTTGAGAAAAATGGACC